GGCGAGGATGGCCATTGGAACACGCTGGCGAGTTGCGTCCATGTGCCATGCTGCAAGCATATTCGCAGCGATACCAACAGCTTGCACGCCAAGAGGGTAAGTGTTGATTTGGGTTTGCGAGAACTTGTCCTTGTAGTACTTGAGCCAGAGGAGGAAGGTGTTTTGAAAGGGGAACCCCTCGACGCTGGCGCAGACAGGTGACCAAAAGAAGAGGATCCAGCTGTTGGGGTAGTCAGAAGCAAATTGCCAAAGGCTTCACGGAGAAACATACAACATGGGAGTAAGGAAGACTCGCTTGATCAGAGACATGGGCATAATATTGTGGCCATCGCTCTTGATTGGGGGGAGCCGGGAAACTGCCAGCTTTCTCTCGTCTTGGGATAAGTATTTGGCCTTGGTGATTTCTGGAATATCGGGGAAGTAAAGGAAACCAAACAGGGCAATGGGAAGGGTAATGATGCCGTCTACAGCTGTCAGCCTCGGTTTGTCACTGTGGATGACTCGACTTACCGATCAAAAACACCCATTGCCATCCTTGGAGGCCGGACATGCCTCTCATGCCCTTGTGAATGGCCGTCATCATGACCCCAGCAAACATGGTACCGACTTGGCCCGAGGCAGTGAAGAGGGCGGTTCGCTTGGAGATCTCTTCAGGCTTATACCATGCTCCGATGATGTAAATAGTTCCTGCATAAGTACTGGCTTCAGCAAGACCGAGGAAGAATCTGATGACGCAGAGTTGAGTAACGGTCTTGGCAGCGGCACTAGCCATCTGTGACATGTCAGTCGGCCATTTTGATAACACTGATGGGCAGTGAGCCTACTGTGAGACCAGCCCAGATGACGACCATGGATGGGAACCAGATTCTGGGTGCGATCTTCTGGATGATGATGCCATGAGGAAGCTGGCCAATAGCCATTCTAATCATGGTGAGTAGCCGTTTTGGATATGGTTCAGAGAACGTACCCTGCGGTGGTGGCGGAGAGCACAGTGTTGTAATCATGGCCAGTCATGTTGAGAGATTCACGAAGGCCAGCAACCTAGATTGTCAGTAATGATGCTAATGGAAATGGTCACTTGTGCTTACATAGGCGTTTGCGAATGCCGCACGGTCTGTGTATCATTGGTCAGTTGGATGGTCTGATGCATCATGAAGATTCGTCCTACCAAGGAAGTTGAAGAAGTAGCTAAGGCAGCAGTAGGTCTAATAGTGTCAGTATTGCTTTGCCAATGTACCTGAATGAACGCCTTGGCCGCATACCATGATGAAGAAATCTGCGAAGTGTCAGCGTCGGCAAATACGAGCGGCTATGAATGAACCAACCTAGTTTCCTGACAAGGCGTCTCTCCTCCTTCGACTTGGCAGCCGCCCCCAAAAAGAACGCTGGGCGCCATCAGTACATAATCAAACCAAGATGCCACTTCCCAAGTACTCACTGCGAAGGCTTTCGCCAAATCCAACCTTTTCGGCCATTTTGATAAGCAAACGAAATTACCAGGACATTGAGTTCAGAAGCCAAAGCCAACCCAACAAGAGAGAAATGGTCAGACTTATCAATCAGTTACTCCTCCTCACGTTCTCCACTCTGATTATCAGATTTATAAGATAAACAAGCAAAATTTCTCTTCCTAGCCTCAAAGGGTGACATCGCCAATAAAGTTTGGTTGAACTGCCGAAGCTAACGTCGTATTTCGGCGGCGTAGGGTCAGGAATGGTCTAGTGTAGAGTGGACCCTGAGCTGATGATGGTGATCTAGACTTGTTTTTGCCAAGAGACTGTAGCATTTTGGGAGATTTGAGTTTAAAGGGAGAGGGCAAATGTGAGTGCATTATTGAGGTTCGTTTTCATTAGTAGTACCGGTCACTGTGGACGTTTGCTTGCCGAGTTTTGGGGTCTCTTGTCCCTGAACCATCAGCAGGCTTTTTGCCTTGGGGTTATGCTTATTTGCAAGTGGAATTTTCTTGATGCGGACCAGTAATTTTACATGACTCAGTGGGACTTCCTTCAAGGGTCGGCCGCTGACTTAGTCTACCCTGCCAAACGAGGTTTATTTATCGAGGAATACGGCTTGGCATATCCAGTCTCTCGGTTCGACACTAAGCAAGCATGGAAAGGTGTGAGCGATTTAAAGTAAGTATCAGCCCTCATGTCCACAATGACTCTTATTTAAGAGGAAACTATCGATCTTGGCAAGAACTAGAAGAAACCAGAGTCTCTCTTGAACTCGGTCAGCCAATCCAGATTATCCGCTGGAGTCTGATTCCATACGTCGTGGCTGGAAACCAGGTCAGTGGGGGTTCGTATGAGAGGATGGGGGGTCTTACCTGTCATACATAATCCAACGTGCTTGGTATTGGAGTTCTTCGTCAGTTGGGATGTAACTTGTTGGATTCAGAGGCGAGATGGTTCTTGCGACGTAGCGAGTCAAGTCTCTGGTCAGGCCTCTGTACATGTTGCCGTCGTTCAGCGACACGATCTTCTGTCCCAGAGATATAGGTGGGGAGCTGGGAATGTTCGGTGGTATCCAATGCTCATGATCGCCACTGGATATAGCGGTAAAAGGACTGGATGAAAGTAGAGGAGGAATAAGGCCTTCTTGTGTGTTCGATGAAACAACTTCAGACGGCGGCAGTCCTACCCTCTCTCGAAATGGAACCAGCCACCTTGTTGACCCATAAACCAAATCAATCAACAACTGACTGAACATAGGCGAAGCATCAGGCATATGGTTGATGATTGAGCAAGCCTCCTTCTGCAACTCGCCATCTCCAATCTCCAGGTTCAACAACTGGAGCATATCAACATACTGCCTCAGCGCCGTCTCAAGCTTGCAGTCCTCAAAGATATCTTTCTTGCTATGAATCTTCAACTCTGAGAACCTCGACCTAGCTGCACTCTTCATAGGCGTCATTCGTGCCTTGTTGACGATATCTTGTGTGCTCATTATGAGATCGCGAAGCCAGGATGTTGCTGTTGAGGGGTGTTGGTAGTTCATTTCCGCTCCGAAGATGATGCAGCAGGCTTCAAGATGAAGAGTCTCATCAGAGGGAATGCAGTGGTTGATGTCGGTATAGTTGGAGTAAAAGTAGTCTAGCTCTAGTTGTAGTAGTTCGAAGGCGCTTGTTGAACTATACGGTGCACCCTGTTGCGTAGAAAACGGAAGAGGCGAGTTGCGCTCGTAATCAATGAGGTCTGCACAATCATGAGTAAGATGCCTGAACTTGGAGTTACTCACTTACATGGGGGCATGTGATTCTCCACCATATCTAGCGTTGCAGCATCAAATCCCCAGTTCCCTCTCCAGTCTGCCATGGTCTTCCCCTCCTTGAAGTGCTCCGCTAGATGATTCACCCGCTCCGACCATGTCGTCATAGTAATATCACAGAAACCACAACGTGATATGACATCCTCATGTTTAGACTTCCATTCTTCCATTGGCCACTTCATGAATTCTGATCCGTGGACGAGGCGAAGGTGTTGTCGTAGATGATCCTTTCTGTAGAATATCCGCTCTCCTCTTTCACGTTTATGGCACAGGTCATGATTATGCTCCTCGAAGTGAGATTCATCTGGGTCCCCAAAGCCGCAATAAACACAGACGGTCTCGGAACTCTCGTTGAGAGCTGTTGGTCCAAGAGGAGAACATTCCCATTGCTCAAGAGACAGGTGCTGTGTCTTCTCGTGTCTGGACCACGTATGTTTCAACTTGAACGTCTCAGTGCAAAATGTACATTGAAAGCGATGGCAAGCAACAGAAAGACCTCTCTTATCATCGTTTCTGGTCCGTAGACCTCCTCGCCGACGCTTCTTGATGACTCTATTGAGTGACCGGTTGGAAGTGTGTGAGTAGCCCGAGGCTTTCGAGCTTCGACTTGAATCAGAAGTATCAGTTGTTGCCCAGGTACCGGTAGATGATGGTGCCCTGCCGTGTCTCGTTCGCGTGCTGTGGGATTGGTTGATGGAATCACTCGCGCCCGATACCGCCCTTGCAATAGCGGCCATGGTGGACGGCTCGTCTTCAGGTGGTGAGTTCTCCCATCGCTCGAGTGGACTCTGTTGGACGATAGGTGTAGGTGGCCGACGTAGAGGTATGTCACGGGGGCTAGCTTCTGCCGAACTGGTATCTGTTGTTTCTGGCGGGTTGAACTTCTTTCTACGACGAGCATTGGCGAACCAGTTCAAGATTTGTTGTCGAGTCAAGCCTGTCTGCCTCTCGATCGCCTCGACATCTCGGACGCTGGGATAAGGGTGATGTGTATGATTCAAGAGCCATTTGTTGAGAATGCGGACTGAGTTAAGAGAGAGTCGCTTCCCAGTCTTGGGCGGTGGGTTTGAGATGGTACTTGTTTCAGCCCGTGCATCCGATACGACGGAACCAATAATTTCGGTGGATCCGAACAGAGAAAATGAGTTGACTCCTGGGACGTCTTCTAAGCCCGAGACTGGGTGCAATAATTGAGGATTGACTCCATTACTGAACGGATTCTGCGAGGCGAAGCCAAGGTCAGAAAAGCCGGCCTGGTCTAGCAGATCGCTAAACTCGGTACATTCGCCCGGAAATACATTAGTACCAGCATTGACGCTGGTTTCTCCGTCGTTGCGTTCCATATTGACGAGCCATTCGCAGCAGAGATGTCATGTTCAAGTTGAGACGATGAGTCTGGGGCGTCATGTAAGGTTGACTTGACCCACTATTTTCTTGTCATGTTCAGCCCTTTCAGGACCCTTGAACCAATAGCGCACAAGATGACACGATAAGCTTCACTACGTCAACGTTAAATCCATCCAAGGCGATATTTCTCTACAATTAACAACAGTAATGAATCTGAATATCACCATAGGATATCATGTAAAATACAACCCAGACATAGTTGCTTGAAACCGTCCTAACTAAAATGCGAGTGAAGAGGGTGCGGAATGTCGCAACCAAGATGTGGACGAGGACTTCCAATACATCAAGCTCGCCAGCCCCAAGACCAGATCCCCGGTTGCCCAGGGTCAATGACAAATGGGACAATCTTGTACAGTAACCTCGGGTCCCACTGACTCTCGTATCCTCGCGATAGCCCAACAACCGGTACACTCCTGAACCTCAACCTCAACATCCGTAATGTCGAAATCTCTCAAGATACCCCTGCACATCCTTGCGACAACCCAGGCATGCGACCAAGTCGTAGAATCAGCCTCAACTATAACCAGGACCTTCACCTGACGTTCTTGCCGTGCGCTTCCGATGCGAAGGACCTCAAAACAGTTCCACTTTGTGTACTCCAGCGCACCAGCAAGTTGCTTCTGAAGGATTCTCTCAGGGTCCGACCAGAGACGTCTCAATGGATGAGAGTCTTCCACATACGACCAGTCGTTGCATAGGCCCGACCACTGATCATCAGGGTAGTTTGATCGCGCCAGGAGTCAGGGTTTGTTTCGCCAGAGACCGTAGTAGTCTTCTGTCTCCAGCGCTGTCGGGGGAGGGGGTACACCCTCTGGTAGGGCCTGAAGTTGAGGTACCCGAACAGTTCGTATCGATGTTTCGGGGTTCACGCCAGGTGGAGGGGTGCTGTATCCTCCTGAGCTCTCGGGACGTGAGTCTCCCGTCTCACCCTCTTTGGTGGTATTTGTCGAGTGGGATGGAGCACCTCGGGCTTTTGGCGATTTCTTAATCGATCTCTTTCTCTTTTTCTGAAACTTCATATTGAGGTAATAGTGACAGGCCCAGAAAAAGGATTGAGCAATATATCAGGATTTAATAAACAGGATGCCATATTGAAGAGTATGAACTGGGTTCTTTATATCTATATGCGCTGACATTTAACATTCATGTGACCATTTGATAGAAAGCTTTTCTTTGTTAAACTTGCGTTCTTTTCGTATACTTGATTATATTTCCAGGATTGGAGTCCATCGATTGCTGGACAGTTATATAGCCTTTGATTGATAGTTAAAGCTTATGATATCTCAAGGAGATATATCAAGCCAACACACTGAAAAATACCAATCAACTTTAGGCTTCCAAAGGTAATATACGCATAGCCTCCACAAAGATAATCGTTTATCGAAATTTATGACATGATACTGGAATTTACTTTACTTCACTTCTGAGGCACAAAGTTATAATTTGCTTTAGTTTACGCATTAGCTCCGAATTGCCTACGTTACCAAAATCCACGACAGATACATCTGATAATTTGGTAGTGGTTCTCAACAAATTGGTATTAGGACAGCGATTAGTGCCTCGAACAACAGATCAACTCATTTGAGACACGCCTTTGACTATTCGATGAAAGTTGGCGCTGCACGAACACCAAACCAAACACATCGTAGATAAAAATGCATATCATAATCATTCAGTAGCTCATGTATTTTCATCGTTCTGCTTTCGTCTAGGTCAATGCTCTACCTGTGATACTTCCCAGCTCAGGAAACAGAACTGTCTTTGTCCTCGACCTCGTCTTCAGATCCACTGCGTATACACGCCCTGGCAAATCCCTTACATACGCCACTGCGGCGTTCTTATCCAATTCAAGCCCAATCATCTCGCGTAGTCGCCTGGGTAGAACATTCTGCTTAAGCCTGAAGCTATGACCTCGGATATAGTATGAGTCGGAAAACTCCCAGATGAAGGATCGCCACAATCCGTCCAGTCCAGAGTCTGTGTGCTCTTGTCGAATACCCAAGTCAATAGGCCTAGGGATTGTGTCAAATACTGTCTAGACTTGTGTTAGTTTATCAATCTTGGCTCGGAGGACACGTATTTGGGATCCTTTTGATGGGCCTTTCTGTGACCAGTAGAAGCATTGTTCTAACTCGTCTACTGTGATGCTAACGCACCAACGGCACATATCTTTTCTGTCCTCTGTGCCTGAGCCAGTTGACACCAGAACACCAACGTCAAGATTACAACGCATAACTTTAAATCCTTCTCTATCCCGCCAATACAACTTTTTACTCTGTCGCGCAAGAGTGACGCAAACGTTCTATTCCAGCCCCGAGCACTCGAAAATCGTGGTCAGAGAGGACCTGTCTCCGTTTTGAGGTATCCAAGAGGCGGTGGAATCGTCACAGTGTTCTCACCGGAGATCAAGTGGACACAGACCCACGCGCCGGGTCTAGCGGTTTACAGGACAGTCGCGCGAGACAAACCCGGCATCAGCATCACCTTTCAAGTCGAAAAAACATAGCCAGCTCAACCAGCCATCTTGCAACTTTGTTGAAAATTTGGTCATATGGTCTCCATAATCCGGGTATAGGAAGCAAGTCATCTTAAGGGCCTAAATGCACAATCAAGCTGCTTTATGTTTGAGATCATCATGGTATCAACAAATCCCTGCGGTGCCATCCTTTGGACGCGAACTTTGCCTATCTCGACCATAGCGGATGGATGACTGTAGACTGGAAGACATGTCATAACTGACCAACGCGGAATATCGAACTGAACAAGCCATGCCGGAGCCAACGCCTAAGATAGAGTCGACAATACCGAACTGTACGTGGTGTTTCTCCTGTACCGCTGCCGCCAGGTGAAACTTATAGCTAGGTATGAGGTCCTTAGTGGCATTTTCTTGATTCGTTCATAAGTTTGTCTAACATTACAGACACTCGAGGTTAGCTTGAGCCAGTCTCTATCTGTGATGCTAGGGCTTTAATTCATGCTAATTGATGCATTATACGAACATATTTTGGTTCTATTATGTCGCATATTGCCTTTCAAAACCTAATGTTAATTGGGACTTTTCAGTGTGTTGGCTCGATATGTCTCGTTGACATGTCATAAGCTTTAAATATCAATCATGTTTTCATGAGTTTGCACTTGGCTCTGGTTATGGAGCCGCAGATCCAAGGAATCGGAAACAGTCCTCTCCGAGTCTCAACCTTCTCTATATGCTTAATCTAAAGTACTCATAAAATATTTGTTAATTATCTAGCCCTTATACTTTCCCTTATAGCTACTATATCTTCAGCCTGACCTAAACTGAGGTAATTCCTCTGGATTGCCTGGTACTGGATTACGACGGGTGCTGCACGCTCTGCCATTGGTTTTGTTGGGGAATACCTATTTACGAAGATTTAAAATGTAAGTTAGATGCTCTATGTAATTTTTTGCCACCGTTCTCAGTGCAATGGATGTTGTGAAATAAGGGTTTTGCGTTGCGTTGACAATTTTTGCAGCATTGACCAGAGGCCTTGTGCCTTGAGTCTTCCTACGGCCGATAGTGATATTTCTTTAGTATCTAGCAGCTCAGTATTTATATATCGTTGCGATTGAGGTGATTCTGTCCAAGAGAGTTCTAAACTCAGCTGACGCGGCCAAGGCTGGTTGCTTCGTTGTTGACGCGTAATCTTTTATCGGGAAGACACCCACTTTCCTTGATCCCCGCCCATTTTGATTCAGCTTACGAATAACACTCTGCTATTCGGCTACTTGAGTCATGTAGTATACGATCTGGGCTTGACTTATAACCTGCCCGTATTTTCTACTTCTTCCAGCCATACTGTTGCGACATCTGCTCAAGTAGAATGACAGCCAAGGCAGACGCTTCTGAGAGTGCCAAGCCCAAGTACAGACGTGCATCTGCTCGCAAGGTCCGAACAGGCTGCAGAACATGGTTAGTCTCAGAATCGCCAAGTGCAGCGAAGTAACCTATGCTAACCTGATCGTTGCAGCAAGTAAGTCCACGAACCCATCGGCTTCGGTTCGTTCCGGGACAACCTGCAAGATAAGATTGCTTACTACCTAGATAGGATCCGACACATAAAATGCGATGAAAGTCGCCCTCAGTGCCGTCGCTGTCTCACTCATGGAGTGATCTGTGATGGTTACGCCCCAATCAAGCCAAAAGTGTCACCGAAAAAACGGGATCAAGAGAAGAGTACGGTGGAGGCCTATCAGGATTGTGACGCACTGCCTCCAGCTATCTGCTATACGCCTTTGCTCCCCCCAGTACCTTTGAAGGAACAATTTTCGATGCCCAGGCGCAACCAAAGCGTCCTCGTTCTGGAAGAGCAGCATCATTTGACGCTTCCGCTATCTTTGGCGTCCCTTATCGCAGAAACCCCAGAGTCAGAGCTGGCCCCGATTAAGAAACAGCTACCACTTCGAAACGACACAAAGCTTCCGAGTATTGCCGAACTCGTTCAATGTACTACGATATCGGCGACATCCACCCAAGGGTCTATACCCCGGGTTAATCAAGGCTTTTCACTACCAAAACTTGCCGATTTCTTGATAGAATCGGCTGGATCATCGCGTTTAATATCCCTGGATCGATCTTGTCACGGAACAGACTATGATGGCAGCGTCCTTCTTCCACGTCTCCGTCAACCCTTTTGCGGTCCGCTATAGTCCGATGAAGCTATTACATACACCAGTACGCAGGGTCACTGAGAGCGGTGAGCAAGGTTAGAGGTTCATGTTCGCGACGCCGTCCAGGAGTGGGAGACACTACATTGTGTGCCCAATATCTTCACCAGCTCACGCACCGCTCATGAGAGATAGAGTCGTAAAGAAGTTGAGCGAAACAATGGCTCGCACCTTAATGCGAAGGATATTATACTAATCTTGAGCCAAGCCAAGACTATAACAAACCCACCGGAGGTGCGCATTGAGTTAGAGGCTCCGCAATCAGGAAATGGATAGAATGAAGGACGGGGCATCATTGGAGCTGAGGTTGAATTAGGCAACCTGAAAGCAAACGGATTCGAACATCCGTATCATAAAGGGAGAAAGAAAGGCCATGGCGGTATCTTGAGGAAACACATTGAGCAGTGTCTCCCAACACGAATAACATAGCTCCTAATGTCTATTATCCAGCTTTCACTGTGTCTGTATCATGCTGCTGCTTGGTCGATTAAGTTTCATTCACTGAGCTTATTTTGGCGATGAGTCATGAGGTTGATACGTATTGGTTGTCTTGCCGTAAAGCTAGCTTTGAGGTTATTCATCTATGAACCTACATAAACCCTGAAGTCCGGAGCCTTCAACTATCTACCATGGCTTGATGCAACGCAGTCCTTCACTTCATTAAGGCAACACTCACTTTGATCAGTCTTTCTGGCATACTGACTGCCCATCCGATCCGACCCCTTTAGCAACGACTAAACCGGTCGACTAAAGTGCTGTTGTAAAAAGATGTGGATATTTCATTTTGGGCCTTCGTGTACCTACGAAACACAGATGAAAATTATCAACTAGGCTTGTTATCCGTTATCATTATGCTAATGTTTTCAGAGACCTTTTCAATGAGAATTCACTTATGGACGAGGAAGGGTATTGGGAGATATGTTTTTGCCACGATTGCATGCCTGTCAAGAACTTGGACCTGAGGTATTATGCAGGACAGTGTGTAGTTGTTTTTTATGAAAGGTGGGATAGTCTAGATAGCTAAACTAAGAGAGAATTGAACGGTAATCTTTCGGATCTATGGACTCGATAGAGAATGTGTCCTCAGAAACGTGTTCGGGGAGGTAACTTTCGAGAGTAATCGCCAATGCCACCTACATTCGCCCGCCAAGCCTCTAGCAGAGCCCGTTGCAATTAGTCTTAGAGACGTAGTTGACAGTGAGCATTCCGTGAGACTTGATATCGTTGTCGCTAGGGTAGAACGCCGGAACACTGCCACATTTGGAACATCCATGGTTGACCAGCTCCTGGAGAAGCTTCTTGATGTCCTTGCCAGGAAGGCCACCGGTGTTCTGGAGGAAAGCACAGAATCCGGTCTTGTCCAGAGCCTGCCAGCAAGCGATGTGCTGGCCGTTGTAATACCACTTGTTGTCGTTCAGGCCCTGGGCGGTTTGGAGGAGGCCAGTCAGCTTGAAACCAACGTTGGCGCAGTTGCTGCTGCCATGGCAGTTAATGCCCTCGGCAGAGACACCAAGAGCAAGGACGGCGGAAACGAGGAGAGTGGTGAACTGCATTCTGAATTGCACTTGTTAGTAGGGGATAGTTTATGTTGACAGGAGCTCTGACTTGAAATTGGTTCTTAGTGAGTTGCGATGAATTTGGTGGAGTTTGATGAGCTTTGTAGCTTTTGTGAGATGATTGAGAGTGTTATGAGTTGAGAAGTTGGATTCTTGGCAGGAAATATCATTTTATTTATACACAACTCGCTCTCTCGCTGAGTTGTTGATACACATGCGAGGACAAATATGCTATGAGTAATATCCTCGGCATGTCGCTCACGGCTTCATCTCCAAGGCCACGGTAGATGTCGTAGATTCCACTCCTGTCGCAAAAGTGCTTTTGATCATCACAGGAATGAGGCTATCGTATGTTCCATGTATGGTTCGGCCGCCAGCGGCATCCGGGTTTCCTGGGCCATTCCTTTTTGGTACTATGTTTGTAATGCTTCATAAGCCGCAGACATATGATAAAGCTCGTATATGTAACATTTAATTACGTATCTGCAGTGCTACAGCTATTCATCTCTGCATACACCATCAATGTCTCTGTCGTTTCGAGAAGGTCAAAATAGCATGTGCTTCATTTTAGACGCCGATCCATACCTCATTGCAAAGTCAATCCATTCTTATTATTCTTTCCTTACTCTGTACTTACCAGATAAGATCTACGACTGCAAAATGTCGAGATCTAATTTCTCTCGAAGACATTACATGTTCTCTTTAGATATTGAATCTAGAGCGCATTCTGGAGTATCGGATAAATCAATTTCTGTCCAATCGGCGTAAACCGACACCGTACTTCTCAGTAAGCTGGAGCCTAATATAGTGGGTCAATCATCAATTTTCTGTATGGCCAGACAAAGATCCCTCAGCTCGGACATCGTTACATCTGCATCATCACATTCTTGAACACAAAGACCTTCGTATTCGACAATGGAGACCGCATGTCAAAGTGACCTTCCTCTTCCGCCCGAGATCGTCACTTTGATATCTTCGACTCTGCCGAAACCCGAGCTGCTTCGCTTGAGATTGGCTACTCGTAGATTGCACGATGCAGCGACTCCATTCGCATTCAGGGCGGTTTACCTTCGAGCTTATGGAACCGCGGCTACAAATTTCACCTCTATTGCAACATCGGCTCGTCTACGGAACTACGTTAAGGAAATAACCATTGACACGAATATCGGCCAAAATTATGAATACGCCTCCAACGAGCCTTATGAATTCCCCAGTGGCTTCTTCAACGCCCTTACTTCCCTACGCTACTTCTCCAATCTCACCAAGCTACACTTGAGGTTCAGTAAATACTGCGGGGATAACGGAAGAGAATTTGAATGGGCATGGATCGAGGAAGACTGGCCGTTTCGGTATAGAATCCTTGATACTGTTTCTCACTGCATCGTTGGATTGTGGACACGGGCAAAGCAAGTCGAAATAGATGAGAGGGCGAATCTTCGTGATTTCGAAGCAAGGTACCTAGATGATGACCCAGATTTCGTCACTAAGGGCGCAGAGCATCTCCAAAAGCTCACCATTTCCAACTTGGCCGATTATCATGATCCCAATCTGGCTTCTTCAAACGCTTGGCAGCAATTACTCCGCCTGCCTCGCTTACAAGACTTGAAGCTCTTGGTTACTACAGAGTATCATAGATCGCAACACCAGATTCTCTCCCCCCAGGAGAGGCACGAATTCTTCCAGAAGCTCCCCTCAACTTGGCTGTCACCAAGTCTGGGTAATTGTCTCAGAACTCTATCCCTCTACTACACTGAGTACTGGGGCTGGTTCCCCAGAATGAATCTCTATGAGATTGGAATGCTACCTCAACTCAAGGTTCTAGCTCTGGGGCAATATGTCTTTACTGATGAGCGACAAACAGACTGGATTGCAACTATCGGAAACAGCAAGGGAAGCGGTGGCCTGGAGGAGCTCTATCTGGATGACTGCCCTATCTTATTCAAAGCCCGTCAACACAGCCCCCTGACAAGTGACGGATACCCCGATCTGCGCGCTGTCTTGAAGGCTAACTATGCTACTGCTGTAACCAAAGAGTATAACATCAGATGGCACAATGTCCTTGAAACCTGGAGAGGACGTATGAAAGGCCTCAAGAAGTTCATCATGGGCCATGGCGATTGGTCGTCTCAATGGCCGAGTACCAAAGCATTAAAGGAGCACGAAGGTTTTGTCTATCTCAGTTACGATGAGCTGAGTCAAATGTTTAGTGAAAATGTTCACAGAAACTTTTGCAAACCTGCAGGCGTTGAGGTCAGCAATACCAAGGACCCAGTATTGGCTCGCAGATACCTTCATGGTGCGGGATTGCTACAGCGAAGGACAGCACGAATGCAGTATATCAAGTATGATATTGGTATGTGTGGGCCATGGGACAATCCATATCTGACCCGAGGAAGGGGTCGACCAGACGATGGTTGGGCACCAGAAAAGGAGACGGTCGGAGTTGATGATGCGGCGTGCGAGCTACTCATGGCAACTATTCGGGACAGGATTTCAGGGGACGAGAAATATCAAAATGGAGACTAATACTTGGTTCATATTCTGATGGTAAAAGTTGCTTTCAGAAAGCATTACTGTTAATATTTAGGCCTAACAGATTTAAAGATGCTATCCATCTCGCTCCTGTAATTCTGAATAATTATCCATCGCGCTTCAGTATTTGATCCCATCAACGTCATGCATCGGCAGTTGCACCACTTCAAGGGGCAATATCCCCATCGGATAATCCAATCTCCGAGTACTTGTCTCGATTTCTTCTTCATCATCTTCCAGAAAATTTCTACATCTTTTCTCGTGCGGAAGTGTCCGCATTTCTCCACTCTACCGTTCCGTCTTTGCGTCATCGTGGAGAAGATGCAACAAATCAGCTGCTCGTCCCTGAAAATGTCTTTTCTCGTGGCGGTTTTTTGAGCCTCATGTTGCAATTGCGTGGAGATGGAATTCCACTTATTCTTCCTATATCCGATTTCCGCTCGCGCTCGCGTTTAATACTACCGATTAGGAGTTCTGTCCATCGGGGGCCTATTATGGAGATGGTGACGATGCATGATTCCTGTGGAGTTGAAAAATGGGATCCCTGGTGCTTGAACATTTGTGACCGAGAGTTCGTCGTTACACCGACTTTAACATCATTCTCAGGTAATAAAAGTCAAGGATCCGACCATATTCCAAGTCATCTCCCCAATCTTTGTCTTGGTCTACCTCATCTCTTTACTTGTCAATCTTGGATACACTCTAATCTCGCAATCATTTCAGTATGTCACAAGAACCCAGAATCCTTGATGTATACGGCCCCGGTACTCATACCGACCGCACATTCGTCCCTGTTCCCCAAGACACACAACGCATCTTCCGTCTCGTCGCCTCTCAAACACCCGGCTTCACCCAAGATGATTCCATCCTTTCGAAAGTCAGATTCACTGGCGATGAGTTCCCAGTCATCTCCGGTCCTATTAAGGCGGTCTCAGTAGCTGCCGCTCTGCATGCCATGGCTGGTGTAGTAGCTGACGAGATCCTCACTCTTCGAGGTGTCGAGGACAAGGAGCGAAAAGTAACTGTGAATACGACCCATGCCGGAATTTGGTTTGGTAACATCGCTACTGCATATGTTGGTGGCAAGGATGCCCTTGCATTGGCCAAGTCTGGAGAATTGAAGAGGCTGTTGCCAGATTGGGAACGAGGATGGGTTGATACACCTCTCAAGTATCGCACCACAGGGCTTTATCCTACATCTGATCCCGACGTTTGGTACTCACTCCACGGCTCCATGAACGCAGAGCCAGTCCTCAGGTCTATCGGCGTGGACCCAGCTGAGGCTATCACCTCCAACGAAGAAGCAGCCGCGCACATCGCAAATTTCACAAGCAAACTCTCACCTGAGAAGCTTGAGTTCACAAACCTTGTCAACGGCAACTGCGGCAGTATTTGCTTCACACCCAAGCAATGGAACGAAAGCGAGATGGGCAAGTCACTCGCTGCTCATCCTCTCATCAATGTCAAGGCTCAACCCCAAGCTATTCCTACACCTCCCGTTGCTTTCCCTCCTCTTGATTCAGCCGATAAGCGCCCTCTGGCTGGTACCAAAGTCGTTGAGATGACCCGTGTCATCGCCGGCCCTCAAATCGGCACGATTCTTTCCAGCTTCGGCGCTGATGTTATCAGGGTCAATCCCCCTCACTTACCCGATATCAACATTATGCAACTTACTCTCAACGCCGGGAAGCGCACTATCGGTATTGACCTTCGGAAGCCCGAGGATGCTGCTATCATCAAGTCTCTTATCGCAGAGGCAGATGTATTCATCCAAGGCTTCCGTATGAACAAGATGCCCAAGTTTGGCCTTGGATTGAACGACATCCTGAAGATGGCTGGAGAGCGAGGTCGTGGTATTGTTCACGTTTCGGAGAACTGTTATGGCCCTGATGGATATTACGCCGAGAGACCTGGCTGGCAACAAATTGCTGATGCAGCTGCTGGATCAGCATACGTCACTGGTCGTTCTCTCAACTTGCCCGACAACGAAGCTGTCCTGCCTTCGCTACCTGTTAGTGACATGACTACTGGTGTTCTCGGTGCAGTAGGTACTCTTATGGCCCTTCGCGATCGCGCCACCAAGGGCGGAAGCTATGCTGTTCACGCATCTCTCGTCGCAGTCAACGCGTTCGCTCTTCGATCTGACGTTGGCCTCTACTCACCCGAAACAGTCGCCGAATGTGCTAAGCGCTTCCAGTGGACAGAAATGAGAGGATCGCATCATGTTCTTGATCTTATGATGACGGTTTGGGATGGCTGGAAAAGAGTCCTTGTTAGGGAGTTGGCGGAAGATGGTGGATGGTACCAGAGCTTTGAGACAAGCGCCTTTGATGGAAAGAAACTGAGTATCTTGAAGCCTGTTGTTAGCTTGAGCGATGACGAGGTAACGCCGAGATGGAAGACACCCAGTGTTCCTTATGCTTATGAGAAGGCTGAGGCCATCAAGTTCCAGTAAAACGATTGATTGAAGATAATGACAGAGGCGAAGTGTATAAATACACATAGACATAAAACATATGTTATTGTGATAAGGAGTTTATGTTAGTCTCGCAGTGATTTGCTGTCGTGTGAAATTGAAACAAGTTCTGACAGACGCATGACAAATACTGACCTATTTTAGCGTCGGGTTTGGGGCGGGTACCGGTAGGGTCACTTCCAACTTCAATCAGTATAACCGGTACTCGAAGCTACTTTTACTATGATGGTAATACCAACACCAGGTCTGTTTCGTATTTGAGATGGTTCGATTTGCGATGAGTCACTTGCCGATTCATCTTCAATGTTACATTTGGTAGCGACTAAAATTCGCCAAATCTCTAATCAATACTGAAACAACAAGGTCTCAATACGGTCTCACTTTCTATTACTGCCTCTGCTACTGCCTGGGCGTAGATCTTCAATCCCATCTACACGAATCGACTTGTTCCAGCAGCAGCGATGGAAGACAAGCCGACACCACAGAAAACAACAACAACAACGAGAATCGCTTACATACGTAGCATCATCGACAAAGACAAAGAAGTAGAATATCACGAGGGCTGTTGGTTCAGTCTGAAGATGCTTCTATGGTCATGGGTTGGCCAGAAAGTTCATAACGACCCTGCTGGAACTGGTGCACCACGACTTCGCAGCTCACCTCCGCCTGGTCTACGACACCACTACATCATCGGCCATTCCAATCCTGTTGACGCTTTTGTGCTCGAATGGCTTCTCGAGAACTCCAAGCCCGATAGTTCGAGGATGTCTCGCGATGACTTTGAAGTTTACCTTTCTGAGGCGCAGATAAAGAACCCAGCAAACAACGAACTTCTCCAGAGGCTTGAACAAGAGCGCGTGAAAGTCACGGTAGTTGACTCATTCATGCCGACCGAAATTGATACAGAAGACATGTGCGATGGAGTGATGCTCACTGAAAGCGATTACGTTCTCGAAACATATCTAGAAAGAGGTTCGAGCTGTTGGATAACATCAAACGTACTCTACCGCGACTCTCTTCGTCATGGGCATCCCCAACGCTATAGCACCGAAGAACTCTCCAAACGATACTATGACACCAGACTTAGGAATAAGATGGGCCATACCACGCCGTCATGTTCATATCCCCATGGCAAATCCGACGCTTGGAAATTCGATCACGCAGAAGATTGGAAGAACTATAAGTGCCCATCTTGTGGGCAGAGATGTAAGCGCAGTAAAGGGTGTAAAGTGACGGGCGAAGACTGGGCGAAGAGAAAAGATGTGATAGCGTGGGATGAAGGGGTTGATACATCGGCGCCCAGACCGCCTGAGTTTGAAAGGGATTGGAGAATCTTGACGGCGGAAGACATATGTAACTATTGGAGCACCCATCCAATATCTTGTGAGAGATTTAGGAACTGGAAATGGAGGTCTGTTGACACATTCACAGGCGAATGAGGCCGTGCGTCGAATACGCTCAGATTGTTTTCATCTATCAACGAACTACTCCTCATAACTCATCATATCATTTTATAATCAACTCAACTTCTCCAGGTAAATTTCTAAATCTCGTGAATACCGCATCCCAAGTGTCGAATGCCCATCGCCTCAAGCTCGTCAATTTGAGCCAGATCAGGTCCGACGCTTCGCTCCTGGAGACCCTGCAACGAAGCGGCAGTAGTCTTTGTCTTGGGGATGAGCTTTGTTCCTCTGTCGTCGAGGACAGCCAAAATGTGTGCAGCAGCCTGTTTGCGTTAGAGTCACAGGTAGCAAGTACATGAGTATAAGGCTTACCTTGGCGTTGATGGTGAGGGTCTTGGAATCAGGGTTGTCAATGGTGTCGCAAGCCTGGTGGTAGCAAGGATCCTGCGCAACAGCCGTGCCCTAAACCTTGGTTAGTTGTAGAAGCATAATGGAATGAGTCAACCTACAGTATGCAAGAAACCAAAAGGCTTGTTCAGGTTCTGCCAGAAAGGCGCATAGTCACTACCATTGGTCAAAACAGCAGGCGTAACCTCAATTCCCTGGCTCTCAAAGTATTCTGTGAAGATCTTCTCCGTGACCTCAGAGCCCTTGGGAGCTTTAGATCCATGAGAACTTCCATCAGTGTCAGCAACGCCGAAAAAGCCCTTGGAAACCATATCGAAATTGAGATAGACGAGGAGGTTGTTGACATCCTTGGCGGGAAGAGTGGAGGTGTAGTGCTTGCTGCCGAGGAGGCCGTTTTCTTCGGCGCCCCACCATGCAAAGCGGATCTTATTCTTGGTCTTGTACTTTGAGAGGGCGAGGAAGAGTTCGAGGATGAGGGATGAGCCGGAGCCTAGCTGTGTTAGTGGAGTCATGATAGAATGCGGCAGGGTGACATACCATCGTCATTGATACCGGGACCGGCCTGAACACTATCAAGATGGGCACCGAGCTGGATAGCCATTAGTATGACTATTGATCATTGGGGAGAGTGACAAACCATGATGACATTACGGGGATCACCGCCCTTAGTCTCAGCAATGACATTCTGGGTAATCCTCTCCTCGATGGTCTGCGTCTGCTGAAAATGCGCTGTAACAGTCTCACCAGCCTCGATCCTCTGCTTGATCTTCTCACCATCCACAAGATTGATAAAGCCAGCTGGGACATGCTTCTCGGGATCAGGCTGACTAAGAGAACCAGCGGTAACATTCGTGGTGAGATCATGGTAGATGATGACAGCGGATGCACCAGCTGCAGCAGCAGGGATCACTCTTCCAGCAAGTGTTCCGCCGGTAGGACAGCGGAAGCGCTGGACGAGCACGATTTTACCCTTGACGTCGAGATCATCGTATGATGAGGCGTCGCAACCTGCTGCACCTTCGGGACCGAGCGCGATCTCGGCGGTAATGCCTTCTTCGGAGGTTGAGGGGGAGTAGGTCAGGCCGTAGACATAAACAGGCGTGTCGTCGACCTTGAGCTCAATTGAGTCTACAAAGGCAAAGAGGGCGGGGAAGTTTTGCTTCCAGACTTTGGCGTTCTTGACTTTTGAGATGCGCTTAAAGATGTAGTCCACTGAAGCGTCGTATCCGGGAAGACCGAAGGCTCTGTTACCACCGTTGGCAAAGGCAATGTCGTTAAAGGCCTCGAGGTTTGACATAAGACTATGTCATGTCAGCGTATCTCTAGTGTAAGAAACCGGGGACAATTACTTTTTGGTCTTCATGTCAGCTTGGATCTTCTTCGACTCCAGCTTGTGAGTCTTGGCGAAGCCATGGCTGGGAGCCAGCGCCAGCAATGTGGCGACTCCAGTGCTGAACTTCATGTTGACGATGTAGGATAGTTGAACTGGTCGTAACAACGAAAGCGGGGAGTAGCACGAAAGGCGGAGAGTCTCTATTTATACAGATAAACAAGTCACGCAATCAGAGGCAATCGCAATGCCAAGAAAGACAATCCGTGGCGGGGAATCATGAAGAACACAAGTCCACGGAAACAGTTTCGCTTCTGGAAGGTCATATCTAACCAAGCAGCTGCTATGATGATCGCCAGCGGACTTGTTCAGTGGAGGCCTTATCGCTAGCGGTGACGACTCCCAGGCACTTTTGCTTGCACCAACGAGAGTCGAACATTTACTGCACTAAAATGTGACCAAGCCCGATCGACGTTGCACCAGATGAGGGTCATCTTGGCAAAGAACGATAACCCCGCGAGACCGAGAGCACCAAGAGGCTTTAATTGGGCAATGGCAATTTTTTTCTTGAAGTTGCACTATTTTGGAAGGTGGATGAAGACCTTGGGGACAGGGATCATGAACCATACGAATAAGCTTAAGATGCAAAAGTTCCTAGTGCACGCTAGACGGGTTTGGGCGACGATTGATGTGTCTCCTGCTTTGATGTAGCGGGTGCATTGTTTAGATGGCATTATGTTCGTCGAACTACAATCACTTGTGTTCCTGGCTTTTCTGCCGTGAGCTCCTTTTTGTCCGCTACTATCTGGGCATACTGCTCTTGTTCAGTACTCCAAAGAATCACCCTTTGTGGGCGCGAAAGGCTTTGACAATTTGAAGACATAATGCTAGAAATGAGAACAAGAGATCAGAATACGCGAACGCGTCTAGTCTCTTAGTATTTAAGAGCCTGGCCTTCCGATTCTTCTGCCTGTTCTCCATCTTGTTAACTAACACCAAAGTTACCAGTACCAAGCAACAACAAATCTAACTTCACAGCAACATTTTGCACCATGGATCGTTACAACTCTCTTACCAGGCTTATCAAGGAGGAGTCTGAAGGTAATCCAGTTCGACGATCGGATCTCGAGGTCGATAAGGACTTCGATGTTCTGTCGTTCGTTGAGTCTTATTCTGACAGGCATGAAATTGGTCATGAAATAAAGGATGCGGAATACCGTAGGCAGGAGGAAAGGCTCATGGATTTAGCTATCGATTTCGTTCGTAGGGAGGCTACTGATGAGAATGGTTTGATTGCCACCTTCAACCCTCATCCTAAGCTCTCGATTGCACACGATTTATTGTCATTCCTCTTGGACCGCAAAGCTGCAACTTCTCACCTCCTTAGGCGTCATCCGATCCCTTCAAGCACTTCCCCTCAGCCGTTCCCCCTCAACATTTTCATGGATAAATGGACATCGTGGACAAGTTTCACTCTATCAAAATCAAAGGAAGTCCAACCAGGCAGTCGCCAATGCTGTCAGATGATGAAACCTGGCGATATCGAAGTCATCACGGTTTCGAATGATAAGTTCGTACAGCTGATGAGTCTTTTAACCGGAGACGAGCTGCTGATGATGACAATCTGGGAGACGCCCGATGCTTCGAGACATGTGAGTCCTCATCTGGAGATAATGAAACCTAACTTTGGTTTAGTGGAAGAGCGCGGTGAGAGAGTCATTGCTTGGAGGGTTCACGGACTCGATACCTCGTACTACATGGATAGACTGGGATATCGCATTCCTGATATGGTTTGGCCTCTTCAAGAGGTTAGCAAGGCATGATGATGCAGTCCCCTTTACCCAGTTCTTAGAAGCAGACTAGCCACAAGTAGGAAAGCCAGATCATGGCAATAAATAGATATTAGAACATCATGAGAAAGGCTTATAGAGCACAATAGACTTTCGAAGTACGGGTTTAGGCCTTGAAACAAATCACATATAGAAGCAACACATTATGAGGCACAGACAAGACGATTGAGTACTTGTCAATAAAAGCAACGTATCTAATGAACTCAAGTATCTGAGCAAAGCTATCTAGATGTGCGCGAAATTAATTATGAAACAGTGTGTAGGTTGAGTGACTCTTATCTCAGTACAATACTGTGTGCTACTGCCACGGCACTAAAGAATACCAAAGAATCTGCGCCAGAACTTTAGTCTCTCTTTTGTGACTCTATACCGTCGGTCCGTAGGACATTCACCTCATGCATTGTGAAGTCTCACGTCAGCAATTCTTGCTCAGAATTGGTGAATTACTAATTCGACAATTTTGGTGATTTCTAATCGTATCCATTATATATCGGTCAAAGGCCAAATGAGTCTGATGGATCCCTCTGGAGTGAGAAGTACCATGTGAATTCCATCATCATGTTCATCTATCGGATCAGGCCTCTTGTCTTTCTTGCGACATTTTTCTGTGGCGTTTGCAAAGTTAACAGCAATGGATTCTCATTTCCTACGCGAAAAGTTGCTGGCATAACAGTTATCAACACACCAATTGTTCAAGATGCTGAAGCTTTTGCGTTGAAGCATAGTACCTACCCGATCTACAAGCACGTCATGCGATCTTGGCTCTACGGAGTCCTCATGATCAATGCCAACGAAACCCTCAGTAATATTGTCGACCTGGAAGTTCACGCTGTCGCCACACTCTTGCACGACCTTGGCTGGGATACGACAGAAGCGTCGCCCATCATCAGCGCTGACCGTCGGTTCGAAGTCGATGGGGCTTTCGCAGCGCGCGAGTTCATACAAGAGCACCAAGATGGAAAGTTTTGGCATGAGAGGAATGTCCAGCTCGTGTGGGATGCGATCGCGCTTCATACAGAAAGGTCTATATCATATTTCAAGGAACTTGATGTGCAGGTTGTATCGAAGGGCATCGCAATGGACTTTTCGGGACCAGCTTATGGCGCCTCGGGAGAGGACTATGCTGCAATTGCCAAAGCCTTTCCGAAAAGCGATCTCAAAGACAGTGTCAATGACACTATCATCTGGCTTTGTGACACGAAGCCCCGGACAACATATGGTGAGTAATTCTGCTGCCTATTGCGTGGCCTCTACTGATGCGTATGGTGCAGACACTTGGATGCAACCTTTTGGGGAGAGATACGTTGACAAATATGACCCGAAGGGCAAACAGAGAATTGATTTGATCTTCCAAAATCTTACGACTGGGGATAATTAGTTGATGCCTGGAACAGGAACAGGCTCCCTTTCTGTAATACGAGGCTTGTTTCAAAACTAGCGAGCGAGTGGGGGCGGTTATTTTACGATGCAGCCAATCCTTGAGTAGCGGCTGTGAATTTCTCCGCTGAGCCACAGTCATTCGACCAAGGTATCATCAGATAAATACCGAGCCCTGAGTTATTAAATATTTAACCGTTTATTTATACTTGCATGACATATCTCATAATGCAGCTGAGTGACCGGAAACCCCTGCTTCGAAGGTTAAATCCGGGCGATCAATCAGCCACTCAACAGCGACTTCTCAATGATGCGCGTATTCCCGGTATCGGGCAGTGGTTTTTCGACCATGAGACGACACAGGATTGGCTGAGCGGGACTCGCGATCGCGTGCTTTGGCTCCATGGACAAAGTATCTCGCCTTCTTCCATCACTTCTCTGTGCCTGGCTAACGACTATCAGGCGCAGCTGGCAAGACTTTCATCACCTCGAATATCGTGAGCCGTATTCTAGATGATCAGATCCTACCAAACACCGGAGCCGCAGTATACCATTTTGGACGCCATGAGCTGCAGTACAACCTCGCTGACTATAACCTTGCGCTTCGCTCAATCGCTAGACAGTTGATATCACAACTTTCGGAGAAATCTACCCTCCCGGCCCAAGTTTTGGAGACTATTGACGATGGCTTGGGAGATGCCGAAAGTACCGTGGCTATACTGCAGCTGCTGGCATCTGAGTTCCGTAGGATTGTTATCATCCTAGATGGGGTCGACTCCTCAAATGAGGCTGGCTTGCGTGAGCTGATGGAACTTCTGCTGAAAGGGAAAACCCAATTGCAAATAATGCTGGCCAGTCGGGATCCGCCTTCACACGCCTTTTCTGACGCCTTTGGTATCAACACGATCACTGCACGCGCTACCGACGAGGATTTGAGTCTGTACCACGCCAGAGCTGTTGACGAGGCACCTCTCAGCGCAGAGGTGCAGTATGATTCCCATACTCCGCTTTTTCCATATCAGAAACTCATGGAGATGGCTGACGGCCGGTAAGCCTTGCTGTGTGTGTATTTGTGATAGTATCAGCTAAGTTCCACTAGGTTTCTTCCTCTTATACCGAGTTGGTTCAGCAACATCGCATCGCAACCGAACACGGCTTTTCTCAATATGGTAGAGTCCTGGTCACCGAACTCTAGTATAGATGCCTCCCAAACCTTTTGCAAAACTCTAGTCAACGAGATCCAGGACTCAAGATACTCAGAGATGACTCTTTGTTCGCTTTATTACCTGGTCTATGGCGAGGAAAACGGATACACGTTTACCCCATCGATGCTGTGGGAAGCTCTCATCGCCTGGGGAATTAGAGACGAAGATAACACAGTGTTTACTCTTGCACAAATCTCCAACACCTGCGCCGACTTCGCCTTCATCGATTTCAACACGAAGGTTATAAAGTTGCGATCTCCATTGCTGTTGGACTACTTGCGAAATGAAGTGTTTGACGACAAGTATCATGCGCGTCACGTCAAGGCGACATTTCTGTACTTGACAAGAAGCGACCACGAAGGCGCGTGCAGGTCATCTCAAGAGCTTAAAGAGAGATTGAAAGCACATCCATTTCTTTGCTATGCCGCCAGAACCCTTTCACCAAGCCTTGCAGCTTTGCCGTCACTGCTTTACGACAGAGATTTCCTAAGGATGACAACTTCACACAGGTCGGTAGACTCTTATCTTCAAGCTGCTGAAGCATGGCCGTATATTGATGAAGAGAGCTATGATGAGTTTGAAGCTGAAGAAGAGAGATGGCATTGTTATACGACAGGATATACTCCCCTTCACCTGGCTGCTCATTTTGGAGCCAGAGAGACACTGATCCAGTCGCTTGTTGATCGCGGTGACAAAATTGAGGCTCAAGCGGCGAATGGACAAACAGCGTTGCATATCGCAGCTGAGATTGGAGATTCATCACATACACTCAAGCGGTTGTTGGAATGCGGGGCCAATGTCGCTGCAGTTGATGAAGATGGGCTTACACCTTTAGCTCATGCGATAGTATATGGGTGCTTAGAATCGGTCAGACTGCTCATTAGCCACGGTGCAGACATTAATGCGCTAGAAGAGGAGGATTTATTAGAATGCTCTCGTGAGAAACCTGACATTGCGGAGTTTTTAGTCGGGCTTGGAGTTGAGATGCCAGTAGAAGAGTCAGAGCCAGAAGCATAAAAAGAAACTGCCAGCAAGAGAACACTGCACTGCATAGTGATAAATCGTTCCAATCGCTATACCTCATCGTTGATTGACGATGATTAGCTAAACGGCAAAAAACATACAACACCGGGGATTCGCTGGTCGTCACCGACCCAACTACTAATCCAGCGCTTCGCAGCTTGACTATGGGAGAGCGGACGGGATCCCGTATTTTCTACGAGCTTTGGTCGTATGTACCGGCAAGTCATCAGTCGCAACTCATATCGACTGGCCGTAACTACATCCTCTCAGAGTCGGCGGCCAATGGGGGCCATTGATTTCTGATATGCTACCCCCCAGGAGCAGCCAAAGTGAGAGACGCAACCCCAACAGCGTCGATTGATTTTACCATTTGCGTAAATCTCCACTCACCAGATATTTGTATTCATCATTGACCATGGCGCCCAATTGCAGACTGCAGTATTCCCCTATTGATTCATCCTGACAGGTGGCATTAGGATAAATTATGGACATAAGATAGAGGCTTCATGATACTGCGAGAGTATACATATCCTCATAGGCTCTAACAAATGTAAGTCTGCAATACTAGTTACTGATCTCAGCTTGATAACTCTTTTACCTAACACTTTTCACAGGAACCAACAAAGCATCCCATATAGCAATTACTCGTGTATTCTCTCTTATATAAACCCTCAAGACATCTTCTCTTATGGCATGGGTCGCTCTGGCTTGACACTACCCTCGGTGTAATCCTTACTATCTACCGTCTGGAGCGAGGCTTTAGCCTTTTCCAGGCTCGGGCATACCGGTTTATTATCATCGCCGCTGACTGAAGCTTGTACTGGTTCAGATTCATTACACCCAGTAGATTCCTGTTTGAGACTTAGACCTCCAACACTGGGTCCAGGAGACTCGGCCTATAATATTTGTTAGCCAAATTTGTGTCCTTCTATATGTTTAAGTTATAAGGATCCTCCACACGCTCCTATCGCATAGATATATCCAGTTTGAGCCCAACACCTAGCGGTTCTCACACTTACATTTCCCTGACTTCTCATTTTTGCCACTGAAGCCTTTTTCTTGTTTTTTCTCCTCTGCCTGACTGGCAATTGCACAGGTTCTACAGCTGGCGGTGCAATCGCTGTAAAGAAGACTTCGTCGAAATCCAGATAGTCTCTCAGGTACTTGACGTGGCACCTACAGGATGAATTCTGTCGGATGCTTAAGAGCAATGAAATGCGAAGGTCTGCATCCTTCTGCAAAATTGCATCCCAGTTTCCAACAGGTCCACGCAGTTTATTCGAGTCTGAGAAGTATTGCTTTACATAATCTATATAGAATTATCTTAATTTTGAAGAAGAAGAAGTATTCTTATATATAAACTCTATATCCTGGTATTTTATTAAAAACTCTATGTATTATTTATAGAGACTGCCTATAGTGTAGTTCTTAAACTTATTGCAGAGGAGCTTATCACCAAGAACCTAACATCGTGTATAAATGTTCGAAGATGACGGCGATTGGAAGTCATCATAAGTTCCATAGTATAGCCATTCCATAAAAAGGCCAAATGCTACAGCATCATCATCTGGGAGGTTAATGTGCGATTTAGGAAAGAAACCAGAACTCGAGGTCATTGTCTTTAGGTAAGGGGAATGACGCGAGATCAATGCGACAGGCAGTGACCACATATTGGCTGCCATGGCCTCAGTAGTCGAGCCAACTGAGATGCAGGCACTAGCCCCACGGAGTCTATCGAGATTAGTTTCATTTCATCGATAATTTGGTGGCAGACAAACAGATCCAAGGGTCTTCCTTGAGCTACATGAGGCACGCTGTATAGGTCAGTGAGAAGGTCACAAGAGGAATTCGTTTTCGTTTTGCTGTAAGACTCCAACCTATACTCCTCAAAACTGAAGCCTCTGTGATCTGGGTGCGTATTAAAGCTTATGTAGTTAACAACCCCCTCAATCTCTGTTCCCCTCTCTTGGTATGGGCGTATTGGCTTCTCTGCCATGTTTGGGATAGTAGCTGGGCTATGAATTGGTGTCAATGATGCTTTCTATGAAGGAAACCTTTCAGAACGACAGATGTACCTCATTGCTAGTCCGAGGCAAAGTATGCCAGATAGTATTTCTGTGCTGGATTTCGCGTTCAAAGACTAAGTGATATCTTCTCTTCTCTCCTGGAAAGCTATCTTTTCTGTTGGTCAAGGCCCATTCATGAGCGTCAGGGACATATAGCCTGATGCACGAATGCGACAATTGTTTGAAGAATTTTGCCTTGGTGTTTTGTACGAAAATAGGAGAAGGCACTAAAACAGTAAGGGGCTGTTCAATGGCAGGTGACCAATAGGGTGTCGTGAGATGGAGAAGACTGGGGCTGTGTTACCCTGTAAGATGCACCCACCTACAGGCTACTGGTGATATTCTTGTTCCCTTGGATTCTTAAGCTCATACATTGTCGCAGTATCGTCTCAACAATTAACTAATTTGACTCGGATATATCTTGGACTTCGAGAAGTAAGTTTAAGTTTATAGCCACAAGAATGAGATCAGATTCGCACTCGCTTTCGGGCCTTTGAGGCCTAAACCATTGTGGCTAAATAGATTATCCTACCCAGCATGGAAGTAGTGCAGCATTTTGGACATCAGTGAATTCACACAACACCATCGGATCTCAAATCGCTGAGACTGACTTGTATATACTGTGTATCTATATTCTAAACCAGCATTGCATCCAGAGCTATATATCGTCCCTCATGAAATTACCTCTATTTATTCCTCCGTGGCCCATTCGTGTACATTGTTGACGAGAACCGAAATAATAATAGACAAACCCCCCAAACTCCTTCAACATCGCATGATTACTCCATGTATTGAGAGCCCGAAGGATCCTCGATTCCTTCTTCATGTCTTATGCAAATTGCTGTCAGCAACATTTCGTGTCTGTGAAGACTTTTCAACTCACCGTTTGTAGTGCCTCTCTAGTAGATCCTTGCGATGAAAACGTCTTTGACATACTGGGCATTCGAACTGGGGCTCTTGGTGGGAAGACTGATGTCGCCTATCAAGTGGTGAGCATACTATCTTCATCTGAAGTGTAAGTGCAGAAGTTGTACCTCAAATGCTCAGCTCGAGTGTATACCTTGTTTTGTTAGCAGTTAATCTACCTCTTGTATAGAACCGCGTACCTTTTGACATTCGGAACACACATGGACTGGCTTTCCCTTTTTCGCTTTTGAGACTTTGCCAGTTGGCGTGCTCTGAAAATCGTCGTAACTATCCATTGAAACTAGCTAGAGCGCTTGCAAAACGAACGAACTAAAACATGCAAAACACGAGGAGCAAAAAAGGACCGAATGCGGCTGCGATAAACTGCCACCAGATATCCGAACGCCAGCGCATATTTAAAGACCGATTTCCCATGGCTTCCGTAGCAGAGCTGACTTCTCCGGCGGGCTTCGTAAGTCCTGTCTAACATGAGCCACTCGATGAGTAGTCAGAACGAGGCTTGCTCCGTGGCGTGGACGAATCCCAGCTCCTCAATCCGTCGATCACAAAAATAGACTCGGACTCTGACCAATCGCCGTGTCGATGCGCCTCACAACCCCTGTGACGAATGCGAATTCTCAGCCTTGGGCAGGGGTTTGTGTGGGGGCTTGCTGACATCATCGCTTCGGGGGGCGCGGAAGAGATTCAAATGCCGGGGATGACGTGGAGTCCGAATATAACTGATTAGATAAGATAATGGCCTGAATTGGTTTGGAATCAAGTCATGTTTTTCTTATTTTGAGGCACGAGGGACTTCGGCATGCGTGGGATGGTGATGGAGGTGTCCCGAGGATCCCGTGGTGGCTGGGTATATGGACATGTGCCAAGGTGATAAGAGTCACAACGTTTCACCGCCCCAAAGTCTGTACGACGGTTCGGACAATGCCAATTGACCGATCCTCAACGGAGCAGATAGGCTTATTAATCCTTTTCTATGCTTCTTTTCTATTGCAGGCATGTATTCTCAGGCAAGCAAAGTGTCATTCTCTTTCGATTTCTGAAGTTCTCTTGGCTTTGTTATAGGCTGGCAAAGCCCATTCCTTCACCCATCCTGATTCCAAAACTTCCTGTGCCTGAGGTCGATCCTCAGGCTTCCATGCAAGCATTCGTTTTAGTAAGTCCAATAGTGCAGCCGCCTCCTCTGAGCTGATGGGTTCCATACCCTCCGATTTCCTCGGCTCCTGCACCCATTGTTTGAAACGCCTGTCCCATGACCAGATATCCCGCTCGTTACTGAGCGCCTGACCTTTACTATCAAACCATTTTGAGCGCTTGTCCCATTGGTCCCACCATTCAGGCGGAGGAATTCCTTGCAGGTGAACTTGTTGTGCAGTGATGTCGTCCTGGGGAGCGATGATGCCATCAATGAGGGAGCGATGGGCAAATAACTCAAATATCAGGCAGCCGAGGCTCCATATGTCTGATTTGAAGGTGAGAGGCTTTGTTGGCTCGAAATACGATTCAGGAGGGCGGACAACAAGGGGCGTATTAGACTCGTATTTTGTCTTATCTGCTGGCCGGAAGGCGACACCAAAGTCACTCAGTAAGAGTTTGGCATCGCATAAGGAGATATCATCACTTGGTAAACCAAGCCAGACAGGGAGAACAGCATGAGAAGGCACGCCAGGTGGTAGTGGTTCTACAGACCCGTCTAGACGAATAATTGGTTCCAGTTTCGGAGCACCGAACTTTCCGTACAACTGGTCGATCGTCAAGTTGTTGAGCGAGGCTGGAAGTCGTAGCAATATATTTCCCAAGTGAAGATCTTGCGATAGACTTTAGTAAGTGATGATATGAAGGCATCAGAAACTTACCTCCGTGGGCATAACCGCGCGAGTGAACATGGGCCGCAGCTTTTGCAACTTGGACAGCCAGAGATCTGGCTACGTCTAATTGAAACAAACCTGACTCAGACGAATCTTTTGTATCTATGAGGCTGCATCGTGCAGGTGTCGTGACAAGACATGGATGTGATCCGTTTGGCCCTTTAACAATGAAGGAGTCAAGAACTCGCGGGATGAATGCTTCATCCACATCCGCCATTGCGAGCCTTGAGAGAATGTCGACTTCACTTTTATCAGCGTCTGCAGTTCCAACCTTCACTGCAATGTAGGTGGATGAATTTCGGTCTAGGGCAAGCCAGGCGGTTGAGAATGTACCATGCCCAAGCTTGTGCACTATCTGGTAACGATCATTATGCAAGGTATCGTTCATCTGAACAGGATGGTAGCCTCCGGGTCGATAATCTTCGTGTACCTCAACTTCTTCGATGTACTTATATTTGACGCTTGGCGTAGACATAGCTTTTTGGGATGCATTAGAGTAAAGGCGACGAGTCGCAGAGAACTGGGTATCGAGTGAACGGAAGCGCGCCGCCAACACGCGTCGCGTGAAGGAAAAGAATGACAGGCGGAGCATAAGTGACATAACGTAAGTTCTGTAGATAGGTAAGAAGGTTGGAAGCTGAGGCCGACTTTGCTGTTACGGTCTGAGCCTATAGACGACGCGTGGAGTTAGTTGTGTGTGTAAATATTGCTGAGTCCGTCGTTTATTAGCCTTAAGCATTGTGATGCGCTCGAGTTAAAAGAATTCAGTCACGGTTGCAAGTTTCTAGGTGATATAGGAGTACTTGCGAGCCTACGACTAGGGCCCCAGCTGATGCGCGGAAGATCTGACTGCGACAAGCGGCACTCATTGCTGTTCCTGGGAGACTAAAAATTAAAGCCTCGCGAAATGTAATCGCATCGAAAGATGAAGTTGTGAGATAAACTTCACCTAGTGCCAGTATGTTGGTTAGGCGTTGGGGAATTGGCTAGTAGGTCACATGCCCCGCGGCCGCTATAACGCCTTGTAATTCTGCCCCACCTCGCTCTCGAGCAGCCGACAGAGGAAGGCAAAACTAGCTACTCACTTTGCTGAGCATAATTGTGTCCTGCAAAACACCACAAAAATGAATCACGAACAGCAAAAGAGAAACACTCAGAGCTTCAAAGACGGTAATGCGTAATCAGGGAATCGAACCCTGGGCTCCCCGACGCTGCTCGAATGGCAACGGAGAATTTTACCACTAAACCAATTACGCTATTGGATGTTGTTGACGAACGAACTGCAATTGGAGCTCAGGCGTTTACGGTGAGGATGCCCATTGTTTGCAATTCTGACAACCTTTCTAGAAAGTCGTTGTTAGTTGGTGGAATGGGTTGAATTAACAGAGGGAGTCTGGGTCCAAGTTGAACAGTCGTTTTTCAACTTCGGCGATTGAAACATATGGTGCGATTGCTCCGGTTTAGCTTCTACTCTCAGCTTCCCCAGGCTTCACTTCTCTGGATATGCCAAGCTCAACGACCACGAAGGGCCAGGTATTCAGCGCCACATTCTTTGCAGCGCTTAACAAAGTTTCTGTGAAACAACTGGCACCATTGAAATAGGAAACCTGAGATATTATTTATGTCAACCTACCTTTTCTCTCCAGCTCTAGGAAGCAGCTCGTGAATGTAGAGTCAACTGAGTCTCAATCCGATGCCAAGTCCACGCACTGCAATCGTTCTAACAGGAGGCCACTTCGACAAGAAGGACACCAGACTAATTTCAAATTCCCTCTTCACCGGCAGCCGAATCCATATTAGTCAAGGCCTCTACTTCGTCAAGCCCCTTGACGACTGGAAACACTTACACTGTCACATTACCCTCAGGAAAGATGTCCTCTCCAGCGCACGGATTGTCTACTACAACTATGGTCTCAGCACTTTCGTCGTCCTGGAGTCCCCCGCCTCTTCAGCAGATAGGTCTGACTTCCAGGGGGCATAGTCGTCTTCTGCGCCAGAAGAAAAGATCTCCAGGACAGCATCATCTGACGGCTCCGCTACATAGCAGAATATGCCAGATAGGTTATCCGCGTCAAACGATATTTCGACGACAACAAATAGATTAGAAATGTCAACCGAATCTGGGACTAGCACTTGTACGAACGATGTTCTAAAACTTCTAACAACATGTAGTGGTATCAGTCCGCAAGTTCCTGACCGCTATCGAAGCCTCTACAGCCAAACCAACAAGGATTCCAACCTTTGACGCTTGTTTTTCCACCATAAGCTCTCCAGATGCAGAGAATCCCCTGACCGTTCGTGGAGAAGAAGGTTCAGACCCCCGCGTTGCTACCGTAAGCCTAGCACTGGTCCAATTACAACTACCACCAACATGTTACCTGGCACGAACCCTTAGTGGCAGAATTCCGTGAACGACTCATTGTCCGGGGCATCATTCACTGAAAATGTCATGCCAGTCACGAGAAACATTGCCCCGGGTGATAAGGATGATGAGGCTACTACCGTCTTTCTGACTTAACCCCCGGATCTGCTACGTACTGTGATTCCGCGGATGAGCTTTTCGATGCGAATTGTTCTGGCCTTTGCGTGACCGGATTCACCTACTTTGTCGACAGAGAGGGTGATGGAGATGGAGACTCCATCTGTCCTTAACTTTCTACGAAACAGATGTATGCTGGGTAGCATGGCACGAAACTCCGGTTACTGGGTCTCTCACAATATTTATTGTCACTAAATTGAAGCTTATGCCATTACACTCGATCCGTTCTTCGATGTCCAAAGCTCCGCCTGTCACACAATGGGACAGATAAACATCCAAATGACTCCAACTGTCACAACCTACTTCTGCGCCTTCACACGGCAGAGAACCCACCCAAGGTAGATTGGCTTCTTGCTGACAACACCATTCTCCGCAGTAAGATCCTTGGTGATTGGCACAGTACCATACTGATCCTTGTACATCTGGCATCTGATCTGGTCCATCTTGGGAGGCTTGACGCCCTTCACAGTAGAATATACGTTGACGAACTCCAGTTCTGTGAGCTTGTTGTTCTTTTGGTGGGTGAGAACACCGAGGGGGACGTTGAGAGGAAGAGTGCTGTCCTCTGGCTCGTTGACGGTGAGGATGGCGACGCCAACGTGAGGCTTTTCGGTAGGGATGGCGGTTACAGCGGTTGAGAAAGAGGCCAGGCCAGCAAGAAGAGTTGGGAAATGCATGATGGGCGATATTTGTTTTGGTGGTGATGTTCTTTGATGATGGAGTTGCTTTGTTGTCTAATGCCTTGATTTACTGGGGAACAAGACAGTCTTTTATACTTTATTCGATGCCATGTTTTGACTAAACGAAAATTGCAGCATAAATGCATGTTCTGTCAGGCCACGTAATGGTCGGCCAGTTCCCAATCCCTCCAGAGTAAGCAGCCCTCTGCCTTTGCTTCGAGGCTCTCGTTACCATGATCCTTGTCGCTCTCCGCATCAGAGTGCCCTTCACAGAAGCCCCGCTCAAAGTGGACACAGTTCAATACTGGCAAAAACGAATAGCCTATACCAAGACACCCTTACGGCGGCTACTACATTGGGGCAGAATTACCCGAGCTTATTAATGCTAGGAACAGATGTCAAAAGCTACAAATGAATCATGTAGTAATGAATCGCGTGACATAAAGTAAGCCGACATTGGCAGGAGACGCTGGAATGCGAGAAACCTCAGAGCGAGTAAGCTCAGTGGTTAGAGTTATTTATCCGGAACCCCGAACCAATCTGGTTGAGCTGATCTGGATGACTGCATGAGGCTATGCCCTGGCTGAAAATCCTATATCGTAATTCTCCAGAGACAAGGTGCATGAAATCCACTCCGACTGATCTGAGCCAATGCCCTGCGCCAATAAGCTTACGGTTCAAGTTCCTGTCTCGTAATGGGGCAGCAATCGAATACTTACGAAATTATTGGCTGCTTCTTTGTATGTTCACTGCATCTTTTTTAAAAGCCCCCTCTGTTTCCTCTTTTCAACTCCTCTGTGAACTGTCCCTCGCCTCATTGGTTCTCGCTCCAGATCACGTGTAGGCTCTCGACGAATCTTGGTCGCAAGCGATGCCGATCGTCACTCCACTTTGAACGTTGGGCGCGGAGAAATCCCAAGATGATCAGTTTCATATATCGCGCGCCTAAACTCCTGCCCAATCTCTTGTTGATGACGGCACAACCCGTGGATTGCGAAACTGGTCATTAAAAAGACCTGGTCTGGCACCAGGTTATCGAGTTCCTACCGGCCCGCGTCGTGTTCTGGCGAGGCCGATCGTGTTTTCTAGAGCTTTCAGGCTTCGGATGAAGCCTTCAACTGGTTAGTCGCCGTGTAGTATTGTGGTACTGGAAGACTGATAAGCGTAGTTGCTCGCCATGGTACAGCAAGTCGCTGTGGCATTGTATGACCGGGGTGACTTCTCGCGCGGGGACAAGCGGCGAGTCTTTGGCTATGAGGCATATCACTGGGCCATCATCATCATGCCCGATGGTCACGAGGAACGAGACTACCACGCCTTCTCTGCTACCGATGTATCCGAGATCAATCCAGTCACTTTTCGCATGCACAACCCTACCATGACTTGGTGGCTCCGAGCCGAGGAAAATGTCAAGCCAGATGAAAACGCCAAACCGCTTGGGTGTATCATTATCGGAGAAGTGCCAGAAGATGTCACGTTTCCTCAACTAGATGATCTGTTTCACTCTATATCTCTGCCGGTAAAGAACACGCATCCGCAGCAGAGCTGTGTGACTTGGATCGTGTATGCCGTACAGGCCCTCCAGGAGCAAGGTTGGGTAACGCAGTTTGATCTCGATGAGTTCAAAGACCGGGTCGTCTCTTACGCCGACGAGAGGATGGAAGGCTCAAGCTCACAGGTCATATTCTATCAATCTTAGCAGTGATTTTATGTCTTTTCACGTTGCCAGTATACCCTCTCACTCCAGACTTCACAAGCTGGCTATCATGTAACCCATGCGAGTGGGTCATGAGACCTACTGCTATACAGCGGATGATATCTAAGTCATGGTGTATGAGTCTCAGTTCTAAAATTGGCCCATTCTTGGCAAAGCACATTGACTCTTGTTGTGAATGAGGTTTTCATTAGCACTGATTCGAGGCTACTTTTCTTGACTTACAGCATTAGTAACTTTATTGATATCATAAGAAGCACTGCCAAACTTGGTGTTTCCACCGTATAAAGAATACCTTCTGATTCCGACAGTAGGTTGACGATTTGGTGGCTTGATACCTGTATGTGAGGTCTATCGTCCTAGAGTAGCTGTAATTATGGCCTTCGATATCAAAGACAGCCTTGGGTTTGTTGTGTGATTGTGCTCTCTACGGAAGGCGCTCATTGAGTGATTAGGCAGAACGGCCTCTTGTTCGGTGACTACTCGAACTTTGCATACTTATGAAGAAGGGGACAGGAAGATGAATGAGATTTTGGTTGCACTTTTCGAAGCGGACATGCGACATGGGGTACAAATGATAAATGGTCTGAGACTGGCCTGTCAACCCATCAGAGATATAGCTGGAGATTGGGGCAATGAGAATGTTGACACCATATTCCAGAAAGTTCAAGCATTCCGCTTTGACCTTCAAGTCACATTAGCGTAAGGCGAATCCGGCAATCTGATTGATTGATTTCTATGGAGTACGCAAGGTCTTGGATATCCTATAGCTTCTCTTCAGCTCGCAACTAGGCGTCGATCATTTCTTTTTCCATGGTGAGAATCTCTAGGTGAGATGGTGGCAGGAGCGGCTTTGAGAACATGGCAGATGTTTAAAGGAAGAAGCTGGTCAGTAAGTTACTACTAGTTTCTTGTGTGCTATGTGTTAAGCGCAGCGCAGCGTGCTCATTCAGCGTTTTCAGACCATTCCATCAGATCTAGCATGAACTCATTTCTGTTCAACCTTCACTAATGGTTGTTGGTCACACATTGTATCACTATACAGAACTTTTTCATTGGGGAATTTTTGTAGCATTGACTTGTCTCTTATGAGTGGCCGCGAAATAGGTCCTGACTTTGCATACTGTTGTCCCCCCTTCTACTCAACCACTCCCGACTGGGATCTGTCACCTATCGATTTATAATCGAGATAAATTACCCCTGGGACCAGTATCCCGTACCACCAACTTGAGAAGCAGGGCTGATCGGAATATCAAGAGGCCCTTTGATCGCCGTGCCATCCTCGAACGTGAATGAGACCTCGTTGCGACTTCCGATTATTCCGGTGAACTGCTGAGACCCCTCGAGGGCCGCAGCCGAGTTGTACTCCAGGGTTGCAGAATTGCTTTCGAAGGGCTGAGTTGGCGGGTTGACGTTGCCTGAGAAGAGGTATAAAGCACCGTCGACGTTGAATGTAGCGGTGAATCTACCAGGCTGGGTAGACTTGATAAATCCCTGCGCAGAAGACATCTGCGAGAGAGTTAAAGGCTTGCCAGTATTAATCAAGACGTGTAAGTGACTGACCTTGAATATGTGAATGTAAAGGCTTAGTATGGGACGTTTGTAGGATAAGGTTTGTTGTGCTGTTGGATGAGGAAAGAAAAGAGGCTTTCACGTAGGATAACCTCAATATAAATATTTCAAATCCAGGAAGTTCCCCCATTGCTCACGCTGTTCATCTTGTAGAGGCCCAAATCTGCTGCTTCTACAATGCTCAAGAACTTCACCGCCCATCAGCGTCGAAGCGATGAGACAGAACACGTATCGCAGACTGCTCCCTAGTCTGGCGTCAGCTTTCGGCTACTGGCTGATCTTTGCTGCATCAAAGCAGATACTTTGAGGCCAGGTAATTGATCTACACTAAAAGCAAGTTTGTTGAGGGGTTTGTTGAGGACGAGAGATCACCATTTCGGAAGATATCCAATTGACACTTGAAGCTATCAATAGCGTCCTGCATGTCTCATGTCTCATATCGCTTGGCGCCCTAGCTATAATATGCACGGTTGACGTCTTTACGCCGCGTGTAAGAAATTAGTAAATGTGGAAATCAAGTTGCCAACCATCAATTGACGAATCGATGGCCTTCAAATGACTTTTCAACCTTGGGTCGTGAGACAAGATGTGCATTGCGTCATCAGAGTCAAAGCACAGTTGCGGTTTTGATCATAGATTGCTTTTCCAAGACAACACTAGTCATCAACATAGGAAGTCCAAAATATCTATGGGCAGTTACCAACTTTCAATCAGCCGTGTGACTGAAATGCTCAACTACCCAGGGCAGGGGAAAGTCTCGGAACGCCTATGATAGACGGAGCACCTGCATTCCAGATTGAAAGTGGTGGTTTGTGATTTCTGGCTGTGTTTTCTTAGTCTTTACGATTCAAGTGCGCCCGTACATGATGTATCTACGAGCGTACTTTCCAGCCTTGAACATCACCTAGGCCACCTGGTTGCATAACAAGTGTTTCACCGGAGAACATAAATGGGCTGTCACATTTTTTAGTGCAAGGTCAGCTTTGAGCTAGCTGGTGATCTTTTCCGCGTTAAAGGAACCGGCAGGTCCGAGCACGACATAATAGTGAATGTTTGGTGCTCAATGCAGGACTGGTTGAGTATGTCTTCCGCGGATGCATAGGCAGTAAATAGCTCGCTCAGCGGTGTGCTCCATTCTGCTTCTCATATGGTCGGGGTCATGACAATTGGGCCACTGCATTTGACAGCTGCGCATAAAATGGCTAAAAGTGGAGGTTTGTTGATTCAACGTTGGGAGAGAATACAGGTCTTCAGTGGACCTGGTAGTGGTTGCTCCCCTATCGAACACTGAAAACTGGTGCTAAAGCGCTGTAGTGCACGCGACATCCCGTTGCACAGGGAATGTGTTTCTTTTTCTTGTGCAGCATGGTTGCATTTGCGGAAGGTCCCCAAACAGTATGGAATGTTGTATTTTCCAATGTCTAGTTGCCAGTCCATGTAAGATTGATGAGGGCCAGGTTCAAGCTCCAGCCTCAATTCACATGCAATTCACCAACAGTCTCTGCTCGCCTGGATCGCCGATGTCATGAGAATATTATGAGTACTAATTACTATACTGTGTGACTAAGCTCCTTATATTAGGAAGAGATACTCTCAGATTGATAGTCGTCGTAGACTATTCTCTGCCCACCATCCAACGTCTGTAATCGGGTCCCAAGGCAGCCTCATGGGGCCAGCATTTAAGGCAATGCAACATTAACTCGCCCATCAACATATCATGCGATAGCTGTACAAGTTGCCTCAGCTGGCGCAAAAAGCCATCATCCTCAAACATACCGCCAGTGAAGAGATCCAGTTCTATCTGAACCTTCTCGCTTATCCAATGCCTCCGTTGCCATTGAGTCTTGTAGACAAGTCGCTGGTTCTCTGCTTCATCTAAAGGCACTATGTAGTCAAAGGTAGAGCAGGGCCAATCGAACAGAGTTATGTGGAATTCGATACGGCCATCGTGAGTGTTTCTTACTTCCATAGTGTTCCCTTCCCACTCATTTGGAAATTGGGGGGGTGGGGAGCGGTTAGGCCTCCGCTCAGCGTGGTTGTACGGATGATACTCCATTATAATTTATTGGTGAATTATTTTGACGGAGACTTATGTGGAATGCAGGGAGTTGTGGTGAGCTCTTTGGCCAGTGGAATGTAGTCGGTGCAAAATATTTACTGGAAGAACATGCTCGCCCTTGTTCGCCTTTTATAGGTTGGCCCATGCCGTGATGCCTGGTTGGATGCGCTTTTGCATCAGCTTTCGTTCAATGCTGTCTGCTGAATCCATCAGTCAGAGTAAACCATGTGTCACGGATTACATCGCCCCCATGAGAGGCATTGGGCCATTTATTCACAGTAGGCCCCTTCAACAATGAACACAAGGTTCAGATATAGGCGCACTCTATGGGGCTCAACGATGCTTCTGGTTCACGGTGCGCATACAGATGGATGTAGTAAGGTAGGTGTGATTGTTGATGACTTTATTGTGACCAACTGACGAAGGACCATTGAGATGTTAAGATTCATTTTGATAAATGACATAATCCATTATCACAGTATAGCTGTTCTAAATGAATCGCCAGCCAGGCCACGCTCTAGTAAGCGTATCGGGTAGCGCCTGTGTTTCCCTCCCGATCAAGCTTCTTGTTAGTCTTGACAAGCCAGATCTTCATAGCCCAAACGCCCGCAATACACATAGTCGCAAATCCAGCATTGCTTGCCATTCCAATCAGATATCGCGGTCCGTCTGACTTAGGGTACAGGTACGCAGTGTAGATATACGAAGCGTTGGCGATAACGTTGACGATTGACAAGCTGACCGACTTCTTCTCGGCTGTGGAGCCTAGCGTTGCGGAAACCCAGCCAAGAATCATCGAGTTGACGGCATATGCACCACTGGCGAACAGGAAGCAAGCAATGTATCGAGCAGGCGTGTTGAGCGTAACACAGGAGATGATGTATCCGACGAGTGCCATTCCCATACAGACGGTGATATGCCAAGTTCGCTCGTTGAATCGACCTGAAGACCATCCTGCGAGGTATCCAAAGAAACCAGAGACAAGGTAAGGTGGGCAAGTCAGAACCAGAGTGATAGTGCTGTTGAAGCCGAGGGAGCCGACAACAGTAGGGAAGAAGTTGTTGAAAGAACAAGCAGAAAGATGCATGTTCTGGATGAAGCAGAAGAGCCACAGGCGAGGGTCGCGGATGGCTTGGAAAAATCCAGCTCGAGCTCCCTTGCTCTCCTCCAGACCAACAGTATCGCGTATCATTCGATCGTGTGCAAGTTGTCGCTCTTCTTCGGTCAACCATCGAGTCGTCAAGGGACTGTCAGCCAGAGTGAAGATTCCGATGATGCCGACTGCAAAGGTCAAGACACCTTCAATGATGAAGAGCCACTGCCAGCCTTTGAGTCCGTGATGTCCATCGATTGTTCCGAAAGTGGCCGCCGCGATCAAACCGGAAAAGGACGTCGCAAAAATGTTGCCCGAGTATAAAATCGATAGTCGCATAGCAATCTCTTTTCGTGTATAGAAAATTGCTAGCAGGTAAAGGGCTCCGGGATAAAAGGGGGCTTCAGCGACACCGAGGAAGAATCGAACGACGACGAGACCTTTGTAGTCTTTGACGAGGGCGGTGCAGGCAGATACGATGGCCCAGCCCATCATGCAGATGGACATGTACAGCGATGGACGGACGCGTTTCGAGGAGATGAGCATGTTGGATGGAATCTGCATGAGTAAGTAGCTTATCACAGGTTAGCATCTTCGCAACGAGAGGAGAAGGCATCCGTCATACCCAACGAAGAGGATTGAGATACACGTGTTGTACTGCGTTCCCTTGAGGCCAAGATGGTCTTCGAGACCGTTCAAACGCGCCTGGGCAATAGCATTTCGATCAAGCTACCAATGTCAGTACAGTCTACCAACAGCCAGGACTAAACTCACGTAGTTGAGGAAGTACATCGCCCAAAGAGTAGGCATGATGCGAAAGTCCAGCTTGCGAACAAGACGAATCTCAGCTGGATCCGTCTTCTTCACCGCACCAGAGTAATCCGCCTCTGGATCAACAAGGACACCAGGCTTCTCAGCTCCATCAGCAACAGACATTTCGACAAAATTGTCTTCAGGCTTTTGCTCGATGCTTCCACGCTTGGAATAGGCAGTCATGATGAATTGTCAAGAAGTTGTAGAGGTGAGTTGAGTCTGAGGAGGCCAAGATTGAAGGGAGTGGTCTGGCATGTTATATATCTGAGTCTCGTGCTAGTAGGAGAACTTCTCCATGGGTGAGTTTCCTGGGGCCCCGGATTCCCCCAGATCAACATTTGCTAGATCCAGTCCAGACCTCGACGCCTCATACTCTCGTGGTTTAGTGGCGGAGGAAGAAAAGACCGCCGTTGGAGTGCGGGGGAGCAACATGGCTGCTGAAGGTGCATGTTGATGATGGGGTCGAGACGCTTGCAATTACTTGATTCAGTTAAAAGGCTTTGGAGAACCTCCGTTGGGGTCTTTGGAGTGAAGCACCGAAGAGTGAGCCTTCAAGTAAGGTGCCATTGCCAAGCTCATGACATGACAAGGGCTTGCAATTGAATGCCACGAATCGTCATCATGCCTCCTTCAGCTTCACTTCATTATATACAGCGCAGCCACCCGAGCATTTGCGCCATTGTCTCGGCTTGCACGCGGTCAACAGCCTATATACTTTGAGTTCGCTTCTTTGGGGCTGCCTGCTGATGTTTCTATTTGGGCTTGAATATTTTCATGGTGCGACTAACAATACTGGGATACTTGTTACGATTATCAATCGATATTTGTTGACATAGTTGGAGGGTCTGGAATTGACCAATGATTGCCGTGGGGTGACCTCGCCTGTCGGAGGAACAAATGTCCACGGAGGTTTCATCATCCGCTCTTCGAAAAAAGACTCTCGTGATAGTGGTTGCCAACAGGATTTACTGGCCACTCTCGCAAGAATAATGGGGTTTGTGTGGTGAAGTAATTAATACTTAACGAAACGATTTATATTACTACAATGCTGCGTATAGGCTGTTGTGATTTATCCTAAGCTTACTTGTTATAGCTCACTGACGAGCGTATGTAAAAGCATTGGCTGAAGTCAAAAAAATCACTGCCTATCGATCAATCCTCGTTGGAGATATAAAGCTCTGGGTCTCTACACTCTTCTTTTTATCTCTCTCTAATTCATTGCACCTGTTCATGAATGACATTGGTTTTGGTGTTTCCATAGAAGGTCACATATGTAAGTAATTAATTACCCTATGCTCATTGAGATGGGTCCGTGCGATCGCTTGCGCGCCTTGCTTATTGTGAAGTACTTTGTTCACCACCTCCACTACCCGTGAGTCGAAGTCACTCTGTTAGAAGACTAACACCGGGACTCGCAATGAGTTTGCGTGACGGTTGCAATTCTGAACAAATTCATTTTTTGGGCGGCCGAGGCCTGCCGCACTAAACAGTAGAAAATTTTCGCGACCTATTAATCTGAAACTGATTTACTCAAATGCATGATCCTAAGTGTTATTATTCTCATTCTTTAACTATCTCCTGAAATTTATATTTGAATTTCACACGCACGGTTCTGTGCCAAACTTCAAGCCTCACTTTCAAGGCACATGTTTCTCCACGTCGAGACGTATTTTTTCGTACCAAGGCAAAGCATCCATCTCACAGGATAGACTTCATCAACATGAGTTGGGCTCCCGACTCACCAGTTGAGCTAGCTGATGGCCGTTTGGTCTGTGGTAATCATGGCTTGGTTGTTTGCGGACGCTGCTGTGTTGACTACAGTTTTATGGATGACATCCTTGACGATGACTCAGTCGAAGGGCGAGTGAGACGTCCAGAAGAATATGAAGACGATCTCGACCGCGCTGGCTCTCTAGATATTGAGAGACTGGACCCCATCCGCCACATAGAAATATCTTGAGGCAGCGGATCAGTCCTACCAACAGTCTTTGTACCGCCCCCTTCAGCAACTCCCCAAAGTCTGTTCCCGGCAGGCATTGGACGCAAAGCTCACCCACCTGTAGCAAGATTTATTCGAGTGGATGATCCAGAGTCTTTTCTTATCTACACCGACGGTGCATGCCTCGGCAATGGACAAGTCGAGCCCAAGCGAGGATGGGCATTTGTTTTTGGACCTCAAGAACCAAATACTACTATGAGTGTCAACGAACGTCTGGAAAATCAGGGTCCATTGGGCGATTATGCCAACCAAACCAGCAATAGAGCGGAGCTTCGAGCCATCATCGGTGCCCTTCGTTACAGAAACTGGGCAAGCGAAGGATTCACCACTCTTGTCCTGGCGACTGATTCAGAATATGTCGTCAAAGGTGCAACAGAGCGGATCCGAGCATGGCTACGGAGGGGATGGAGGAAAAGCGACGGAGCGGTTGTAAGCAATGTGGATATGTGGCAGGTATTTCTTGGAGAGGTAGAGCGCTGGCATGAGTATGGTGTTAAGATTCAGCTTTGGAAGATTCCGCGAGAGTGGAATACTGAAGCGGATCGGTTGGCGAAGGAGGGTGCACAGCTTGATGAGGAGCTTACCTTTAAAGAAAGGCTGGGTATCTTCCCATGACGAGAAAGGTACAAGCTTATGGGCAAGCGGTGAAAGACTGAACATGGTAGCATTATCTGCCGAAACAAATGAGGTCCTGATCTCACTGAACCGTTTCGTCTAGAAGGATTATTAGCCCTACGTTTCAGCTGCAAGCCGAATGTGCAATAAGCTTTAGCTATTAGTATTAAGTCGCAGTGTGAAATTAAGCTTACATAACGGTATGACTCTGCCGAAACGCCATTCTGCTCAACTTGACTCGCGCTATTGAATTTGAGGTCCGTGATTGCACATTAGCGCAACGCCCATTCGCCATGTAAGCTATCTGAATGGTGGCAAGCCACAGGGGAATGATGATGCGGAATTGCTTGCTCCAAGATCACAGGCCTGTCAAATTCGATTCCGCGACTCTATTGCCCACTCCAGTCAAGCATCCCTATTAGAGTTGACGCAGATGCATTTGGTGGAAATGAGACCTTTCTCTGGGGAACATGATGGGGCCATAAACAGATAAATAAAGGCCAAGATCTTACATTGCGCAGTCAGGCTCATTTGGCCTTCAAATTCACTCTTTTCTTGTCTTCTTCAGTCACTCATTTCGTTGATTAAATCACTGGTCTTCACCATGGTCGCCACTCATTTCCTCATGCTTTCTATGGCCGCTGCCGTTGCTGTAGCTGGACCTTGCAAACCCCAGAGTTCTTCAGTCGTTTTCCCTGAAACAACCCTTACCACCGCGCTCCTTGAGACGACTTCCACTGCACTACTCAGCGAGACGACGCCGTCCGAGCCAACAAGCACTACTATCATTGAATCATCGATAACTTCTACCGCCGAAACTGCAACGACCACTGCCGTGACAACCTTGACATCGGCTGAGACTACCACCGAGGCAGCCGCCACGACTACAGAGGCTACGGCACCTCCACAGGGCGTCACTTGTCTTGCATCACACGGCCAGTGCTTTGGCGCCCTCAAGATCGAATGCGGTTACATCATCACAGGGGGCTTCGGTACGCCTTTCCAGTCGACTCTGGACGACTGTGTTGCTGCTTGCAATGGCAACTCGGGTTGTGCTGGCTTTTCTCACAACGGCGTTAGTTGTTACTTGGTCTCGTCCTTGGGCTATGCGACTGCGCCCGCAGTTGGCTGGGTGTCTGGTAAGAAGGCGGGTTGTGATCAGTAGATGGAAGAGTGGGATCGATGTATCTTATCGTCACGGAATCGCACTTACCAAGGTGCCAACGGAATTGGAAAATGACTCACTAGTACCTTTCATGTATATAGTCTTGCAAACTCCTATAACCATAACCACTGCATTATTATGGCTGATTGTTAGACCGTTTCCCCTGTAGTCGGCCTTGATTATAATATTGGGACATTTCGCTCCTAGTCATATCGCTCAACGCCATTCGCAACAAGAGCAGGAATGTTGTGGACCTAAGTCCACAGTCCTGTTAGAGATAGCCATATCAGTTACTTGATGGTTTTGGTAAAGAGGATCTGAAGAAATAAGAAGAACTGTTGGGACAGGAGCTCAATGCCTCTATCAAGCGATGTAATGAGAGCAGTTGAAGCCATAACTCTGCATTAATCTTCTGGATGCCCCTTATTTTTGAATAATTCCGTGGACTTGTCATTGTGATGCAAGGACAGAGAGATCCTTACCGCCATTTCCGAAATGCGATAGCAGTATAGGCAATCTTTTGTTGAGACTTCCACTGTAAAGCCATTTTGCTACGAAACTTGAACAGAAGTCTGCTCTGGAGGTTGAACCATGATTAATAGCTGACGTTTGAGTTGGCATATCTCATTGGTGTTTACTGCTTGTTGGCAAAGCTTAGGTAGTAAGATGTCTGGGCCATATGCAGCCTTTGTATAAGGCTTGATGAGTTGACCAATAGTCTATGTATGGTGCGTTCTATTTTTATCTTCAAGTGCCTAAGAAACACCGGTATGCCTAAGAAAACAGACCAATTACATTTCCGGGGTCGGGGTGAATGAGGCGTCTCTAAACATTCTTGATTGGCTCCGTTCTGTAAGGCGACTGGTTCCCTGACTGCCTCACCTCGCACCCCAAAACCAACCCCGCTGCACCCCAAAATGCGCCTCAAACTCATTAACCTCGATCTCACCCACAACATCCAGTCTTTCAAAAGAGTCGATCTTGCCTCAGCGAACCAGCCTTACAGCACGAGCGTTTCTTATCTCGTCACTTTCTTTCTTTTACGATACTTCTGGCAGAGCTACCCATCATCCCCCATGACCAGTCCTCAGCTTGGCCAAGATCAAGATAACGAAGAGGAGCTGGAATGTCTACGCCAAACTCAGTCACAGAGAGCACAACCACTCTCAGGGCGCTACGTCTGGTCTGAGACAAACAAATTAGAGACTAGTGACTCTCGAGTTGCTACGCCCATGGCTGACTCGGACAATCATCGAAAAATACAGCTCAGGCCTCGTAAAGCATACGCGAGAGACGACATGGATATCCGTAGGCTGCCAGAGCCGGCAGTGGACTCAAAGTATGAGACTCCTCACAGGTATTCCGGAGCAAGACAACCTACACCTGTGACAGCAAGACAATGTGCCAACAAAGATGGCCAATCAATCACCCCAGGGCGCCTTGCAAGAGACACAGCCCAAAACGACCCCCCTCCAAACCCAGCCCCTGAGAGCGAGCCGACAATGATGCGGCAACCAGAGACTCGACCCATTAGCCAGGATCAGCTCGTCGCCGAGGTCAGAGGTATCTATGCCGGCCTTATTATGATCGAAACAAAATGTATCGAAGTCGACAAAGCTGCGTCTGCAAACTCAAATTACAGCAGCGAATACTGGCAGGCGCACAATGCACTCCATCGCCAGTTAATGTATGAGAGTCTCGATCCTGTCAACATTACTACTGTCGAGGCATCGCAGGCTTACGACCTTGGAGCCCTTCTGTCGGAAGTTTCTCTACGCTCGCAGAGATTCTGCCGCCTCAACAGTCGATTACTACCACTTTTGCAAGCTGGAAATGGTACGCCTTTAAATGTACGGTTTGTCGAATTCATGACATTGATTGAAGCTCTCTCCAACATAATCATAAAATACAGTTCGTTGCCAGATTTCACAGATACAATTCTTGCCGGGTTGTTTGATTTGATCACGTCGATCATCAGAAGGTTAAACTTGAGATTCAGATGCGCATATGAGGAACTGAAGTGCAGGAACGCCTCGACTCAGATAATATTTGAGTTTCCCAACAATATGCGGCATGTCTGTACGACAATGCCTTGGACTATTTTGCCTGCATTGCTGGTATTATGGGGTGTTTGTTGGATGTTCATCATCGGTCCTGGTGATCTTGAGCCCCAGAAGTTCAACCCCGCTGCCCCGACGTTCTCGCCAGCTCCAGCTGCCTATGACTTCCTTGAGAACCCTGGCGCAGCTTACTACGAACGTAAGATACCTTGAGGTTGTTTCACTAGACACTTCTAACGATTAGCAGTTGGCCTACCGAGCGTTCCTGTGCCTGAACCTAGTAGTACGGGCTTTGATCAGCACCCTACTATCGACAGCCTCCTATTCACTGATGATGGCGCCGGCATTGATCCGATTTACTTAGTCCAACATGCTCCTCAAGATCCAGACTTCTTGTCCTTCGACGTGTTACCGAGGAACAGTGCAGGGATCGTGGAAACGTCCGTGAAGGAAGACCTCAGTAGAGAGCTACCAGCTGCTGTCACCCCAGATCCAATGCTACAGACCTACGGAGATGCGACCCGCCAAGAGCCATTCAACCCAATAGCTAATGTTGCATCGGTCAGTCAGGGAGTTCAAAATACTGGGTACGTAACGAAAGACCTACGTGGCGTCACATCAAGTACTAAACTCAAATGCAAGCAATGGCCAGACGAGCTCGTCGTACCTTGCATGCCCGAAATGCCAGCAGACATTTGCAAATTCCTTCACTCTCAACCGGCATCAGACAGAAGCGCATAAGGATGTAGCATCCAGCCCTGAAGAGTCGTTTCCATGCCCCAACAGAGGCTGCAAGAGATCCGTGAGAGGGTCTCCCTTCAAACGTCTTTACAACCTGAAGAGACATCTTCAGGTTTGTAAACACAATCCAAATGTTTCAACCTCACCCGCCGCGTCGGACGTAATGGAAGAGCGGCCATTGTCTCATTCAGTTTCAACACCAGCCTTACCTGATGAGCTACAGTCAGCGGAACCACCATCAGAGGGTTCATCAGGAGAGAGCAGCGTTAGGAAAAGGTCGAGGTCAGAAAACGACGATGACTGGAGTGAGGAATCATTGCTCAGAGAGATGAAAAAGAAGCTAAAGCGAATGGCTCAGGAGGTCAAGGAGAAGGAAGATGCATATCTGCGGGCTCGGGAGGGGCTGGAATCCATCCAAAAGACCATCCAAGTCATGGAGGACTCGCTTCGAAAGTCCTAGTCGGCGTTTGACTCATCGCTCCGAGAAGGTCAGGCTTGTAAATCGATAGGATGGAAGATCAGATCAGATGGATTGTTTTTGTAAAGGATATCTACATCCACAGCACTCACTATACTAGACTAGGTAACATCTTACGCATATCTAAACGCTGAATATTCCCTCATTCGACATTCGACATGTCAGACGATGGATCGACATGCCGGTCTTGCATCTTGAACGTGGGATTGCCGCTGTCTATATCTTAATTGACCCCTGTCTGACAGAGAACGTCAGACTGGCCTCCACTAGATCCCAACCATCTACCACTAATCTGAGTCTCAAATATTTTGTCGACTGCTAGGCTGAGAAACGTCGTGGATCCCGCTTATCCACATGGTAGGCGAGGATTGCAGAAATGTGATATATCATTGCGGTCCAGTGGCCAAAATGAGCTTGCCTCGGCGTTACGACTGGGTACGTCAACGCTACTGCAACAGATAACTTGGCAGCCAAATGCCGAATTTCTGATCATGCAAGTTCGGCACGAAGCAAGGTGAACCCAACAAAGTTTGTGTAAGTATGCATGCAGTTCCGGTGAGAGCTGCAACGTTAGAACCAACAACCAACAACCAACATACATAGATACGAGACACATGCTTTACGGAGCAGCACCGAGTTAATATAAAACTGAACGGCACGTGCGGGAGCGGACCGGAGGCTATCCGGAGCTAAACAACAAATTGCAGAAGAGCCACTAGCACTTCTAAAGTATTCGTAATGCTCATATCGCAGGCCGCGCCAAACCGCAAAAGGACAGTCTACAAGGTTACTGCCTGGATTTTCAGGGCACACTAGACAAGGCCATGTTACTCTACAGCGGCGATGGGGATGGGGTTTGTGTTCCATCGTTGATGAGTGATTTTATTTAGTTAGACGAGGGCGTACGATTGAGCCTATGCTTGATTGCTGCAACGCGTGCTGATACCCACTTGTTCCCAGCAAGAGGGTCCTGGAGTGCCTGTTGATACTCCGTAGATTGCGGGCATGTCTTGCGGGCTGCCTTTGACAGGTGCTTTAGTGGTGTAACATTGAATGGATATGCCAATGCTGTCCATGTCCGCGTCGCTTGGCATACTAATCTACATAATGAGATTGGGTTAATTAATCGTACTGAATACGTTTAAATATTAAAATGGATTTTGCATCAATTCGCAAAGATCGCAGAATTGCCCCTTCGTTATCATTTCCTCATACCACTATCATTTAGCTCGGCACTAAACAACAGCCACCAGAGAATGGTCATGCTATTTTCAGAGCCGTTTGCACTAGAGCAAATTTGCCCCAGTCATAAACCCTGTCCCTGACTAGTAAGCTAACGGTCTTTCCAGAGACTTGGACAGACGGAATTGAATGGCAGCAGAGAGACGTGTCGGGCTCTGATTTGGCTCGATCTGCTTGTAATCGTCTGTTGATCAGTAAAACGTCGCACAAGACACTAATTGCCACTTTATCGTCATGTCATACCGATCCGAGTCAGTATCAGATGTTAAACCAATGCTAGCGAAGCTATATCATTCTGGCAAGGTCAAGGGTCCCTCACTAAGCCTCACCCGCCAGCCCGCAGCTAGAAACAAAGTTCGTGCCGCTGAAGAAAGCCGTTCGTTGCTCTAGGGATTGCGGGCTAGTCTCAGGGTTAGCCACCTGATGCAATCAGTGAAGGGTATCCGTAATGGTGGTGGTGGTTTGCGTAACTCTCACCAGCTCTTTGCATGGTTGAGCCCTTTTTCATTCGGTATCTTGGCCTCATTTGTTCTAGTGGCCGTTGTAACCTTTCTCCAGTGTTTTGCGCTGATCAGGCAGGCTTGGGAATACGACCCTGTTTCTGGAATCGTGGTAGCATTGCGCTTGGCGGTACCGAGGTTCTGGCTCTCGTGACAGGCGGTGTTGTAACCTTCAGAGTGTCATCAGAAAAGAAGGTGTAGCAGCCGTAGCGCATGGAATCAACATTGAGTTTAATTAACACGCTTCATACTGGTTTCGTCGATGCTTCAGAAAAGCATCTTCAATCGGAGCTAGAATCAGTGTCATGAAGCCGCATGGCCCTATCTCAAGCCATAAGGTTTCATGTGTCCACTCGATAGTGGTGATCAACCAACCCCAACTGACTTGAATCTAGTCCGCGTTATCACCGAGGCTCCATTCTGGATGCCACTTGTTGATTCTAGAAACGATTTGGTATTTTTATTGAAACATAAGAAACGCGAACTAAGTCCGTAAGTGCTAGAAATCAAGCGGTATCAAAGCTGCTGAAACATGGATATCCCTTCTACGCCGTAACCTTTTGTTCATGGTATCGACCTGGTGTTTGAGTCCTGGTGGCTTATCGAGTCTGCGCTCGTGACACTTCCTGTGACAGAGGTGCTATTAAGTGACTCCATCTTTGCCATCTTCTTCCTCTTTTCAAACTCATCCAGCAATGCATGGATCGTGCCCAATGGAAACTCGTGTATCATGGGCCTTGTAGATGCGGGGCAGACGTTTGACTCGTGATCCTTGAACTCTTCCATGGCAAGATTGAGTCGTAGTAATTGTTTCCACGAAACAATCGCATCACCGATTAAAAAGGTCGGCACCCTGGCCATGGCCATCTCTTCGAGGATCCAGCGCCGGTGGAAGAAGTTCCTGTTGAGAAAGTCTGCAGTTCCAATGGCAGCGTCGCTTTGGGGGTCGAATAAGTGGATAATGGGAATTGCCCACTCGTGATGGGGGGAGTAGTTCTCAGGATGTTCCTCCTTGTCGCCGGGTTCCTGCCACGTCTCGGGCATCGCATTGTCAAACGCTTGGATGAGCTGGATACCAAGATCTGTCTGAGGTATCTTGAGTCCCACCCAGCCCACTACCATCTGCGCGCGCTGATACACGTGGTACATGATGAGTCTGCTCTTGGAATTCTCCCTCGAGTCCATTGAGTTGACGCAGATGCAGTCGATCCATACCCGCAGCTTCGGCCTGTTGTCCACCTCTCTCCCACCCAAATGCCTGAGAAGGCTCCTCAGCCAATTCGGTGATCTTTTCTCCCTGCCCAGACTCTCGCTCGATTTGCTCACGGCGGGGTAGAATACGGCTCGGACATATTTGAGGGCGAGGGCGATGTGGACGGGGACGGGAATGGGACTTCGGTCGAGAATGATTCTGTCTTGGTCTGCGGGGTCGCCGAGCAGTGAGGAGATGGCGATGAATTCGACGTCTCGGCTTAAAGGGAGAGTGACGAGGCGACAGACGACTTGGTCGTTGACTGTGTTTGCAGGTTCAATCTCCAAGAAACGGACCTCGTCTTTGGAGGTGCTCAATCTGGAGTAATTGATCCTGGGACGTCGTAATTCGGACGCCATTTTCGTATGGTGGTGCACCAATAGGTAGGTAGCTACGCCGTACTGCAATGCAATGGGCAGTCAATTAATGCGAAGCTCCGTGACGGGCTGTTGGTTTGTCCGTCTGTCTGTTGGTTGTTGGTTCGTTCGCGTATCTTATGCACGTCGATGTGTCAGGAAGGTGATGGCAGTCCACTCTCGGCACTGCTTGTCAGCAATATGTAAGGATAAACCCAAGAAGATGGTTCAGAGCAGGCAATTCTTTTTTTCCTCCTCCTCCCCCTGGCCAAGCTCCCACTTTTATTACATCCCCGCCCCCCCTCTCCACTAACTTGGTCTAGACTGCCCCTAGGAACCATCCCCGGCACGCAGACGGAACCGTCCACGGAGGCCATCTCTAGCGTCGTGCCCGTACTGTACTGCACACTCCCTCTGCAATCAAACCGGACCAACAGACCAGATACAAACAAGAATCAGGCCTACATACTAGTAAGGTGCTCTAGCTAGTGAGTATCAACCAACAGCCAACATGCAGGTCAGTGGTGGAGTTGCAAAGTCCCTTAAACCCCGTATCTTCCGCTTCCGCTCGCTCTCAAAAAGTAGCCAGTCTCCTACATCGTCCCGGTCGGCGAACAGCTCGTTTGCTAATACCCCAAAGCCCAAGTCTTTACCTTGCGGCCTAAACGAAAATCCTCATACACACAATGGTACCCAGCCTAATCACACCGCCTCCAAGCCGCTCTGGAGAAGCCACACTACCAAAAGATGCCTGTCTGAACCCGGTCAACGTTGCCGAACCCGAGGGTCACTGGATTAAGCTTCCAGAAGCACTGTTCTCGTCGATTATGGCAGTGGAACCAGAAGTCAATCCCTTGTACAGGACATCGAAAGCTTTATCAGACGAATGGCTGAAAACGTAAGTCCACTTGGGACAAGAGTCCAACTCCGTCCATCTCGGTAATGTTTGAGACATTGCTCGCTAACAGCCCTATTATACAGCGCATTGCGCATGAACGATAAGACAGCGGCCATCTGGAGTCGGCTTGACATTGCCTACATGAGCGCAATATGCGCCCCGCATGCTGATCTCGAAACACTTAAGCTGATGAATGACTGGAATGGATGGGTCTTTGCATTCGATGACCGTAAGTCAAGCAAACAAAAACCGAGACTCCAATATTCTAGAACGGCCCGCGCCGCTTTTGCATACATACATACAGACAAATTCCACGGCTGAAAAAAAGTGGCTTCCGCTAACAGAACAATAGCCTTTGACGAGGGAACATTTGCCAATGACCCCATCAAAGCGGCTGAAGAAGTCATCTATACACTCGCGACCCTCGATAATATCCATCCCGTAGTATCACCCGACGAGAACCCATTGCGACATACCCTCCAATCCTGCTGGATGCGTTTCAGAGAGCGATCGAGCCCAAGTCTACAGTACAGATGGAAGAAGCACCTTACCATGTACTGTGTCGGCGTGCTGCAGCAGGTTGGCGTCCAGCATAGGGCGACACGGCCTACAATCGAAGAGTACATGGACATGCGCGCTGGTTGCGTAGGAGCTTACCCCTGCATTGGGCTCATGGAGTAAGTACCGTGCCCTACCATCTCATTGATTGCGATCCGCGGTTTCAGTCGCTGCACTGTAAATGTCACTGTAAAAAGAAAAAAACAAGACCAGAGACCACAAGCGCGGCTGGAAAAGTCTTCTAAGTTTTTTGGCGGTTTCACCTTCGCCTAAGGCTATCCTTGTTCTGGCCAAGCTGCAAGCCATCATTCCACGGTAGTTCGACTCGATTGGCGCCCAATTGGCCACTGAGCGAAAAAGTTCCAGGCCTGAGATTTGGCCAATCATAGCGACAGAACTTCACTAACTGGGCCATTCAGGTTTGCCGAAGGCATCGATATCCCCCAATACGTCATGGACCATCCCTCAATGCAGGCGATATCACGAATCACCTGCGATTTAGTCACATTGTAAGACCTTCCAGAAGCCTTCCATTCTCCCCGCTAATAACGCCAGGCAAAACGACTTGTGCTCGTACCGAAAAGATTTGATCCAGGGTGAAGAGAGTAACATCATCTTCATCCTGAAGGATCAGGGCATGACTGATCAGCAAGCCGTTGACCAGATTGGGGAGATGCTCTATGACTGCTACCGAAGATGGCACATGGCCTTGGCGAATCTGCCGTTCTGGGGTGAGGGCATTGACAGGGATGTCATAAAGTTTGTCAATGGATGCCGAAATATCGCACTCGGTAACCTTCACTGGAGGTGCGTGCAGCCGCCCCTTTCCATTCACTTTGATATGCTGACGAGAGCTACAGTCTATACACATTCAGATATCTTGGAAACGATGGCCCAGAAGTCAAGAGGACTCGTATGATGAAGCTCCCTTAGGCGAAGAATTGTTGGGGACGAGAAGCGAGAAGCGAGAAGCGAATTGCGTGGAATGATGTCGTGAGCTGACCCTTCAGGCGAGAACAAGGGGGTTTTCGCTTCTAGAAGGAAAGGGTCAAACCCACTTTAGATACCCGTATGTATACGAGAAATTGACTTCTGTTTCAGTTGGTTCAACTTTCATTCCAGTAATTGTGGCTTTCGTGCATGCAGTTTGAAAACCGGTTTGTGGGTGTTGGCTCTTGGCTGTTGGTTGTTGATAAGACGGTTCGGATGAGGTATGCTGACTATCTCCGAATTCCTGTGGTCTTGGAAATACTCGCATATCCCGAGATGTCTTGGTTACTGGTTCTCAATGCTCAGATCAACAATTTAAATGATAGACAATGTTGTAGATCGTATAGTGCCGTACAGATGAGACGGGCTTTGACGTCGCATCTAGAATTAATGCTGATCCAAAAAGCCAACTCCGACTACCTGCATGAAGCGGCCCCAATTTGTGTCAAACAAACAAATAAAGCGCCTCTCATTGTAATCATTCCTATTAATATTTATAGACATACAATAAGCAAGGAGAGTATCAGAGTCTTAAACGTAAGGGGTTTATCCGTTAAGTGATCCAGTAGCTGTGATTTATACAAGGTTTTCCAACCAAGAGTCGTGTACGGTATATCCTCCACCAACTAATCCCCGATCCACAGATGATAGTTCAACCGCAGGAGCAAGTTTCATAGAGCCAATTCATCAAAGTATTTGATTAAAAAATAAAAACATGGCATCAGATACATGCCAAGAAATTCCAAAAAAGACATCCAAACGACGCAGGCCTGATTCGAACAGACGCCTCCGAGGAGAATAGATTTCTAGTCTATCGCATTAGACCACTCTGCCACTGCGCCTTACGTAATGGATATCAGGGTGCTCAGAACATGGGAATCATACTCTTGCAGACGCTGCAAAGTAAGAAGGGCGGTTGCTATTATTCTCGTTTGTTTCGGCAATGCTCAACAAACTTTGCTACTGCACTGAGATTGACCACCTTCTGTTAGACTAATGTTAGTTTGGCTGAAGGCAGATCGATATGACAATTAAATGCATGCTTCAAAAAAGCAGATCAATACTGTCTTCCAAAATATCGACATCAACCAAGAAGAGTGTCAAACATCGACCAATATATTGACCGAACAGGGTATCTTTAACTTGTGTTTATCAGCTAACTTGCTGGCTGGAGGGGCTGGCTCTTGTTGCCACGGCTCCTTTCTGGTTTGACATCAGCATAGCTACCCTATATCAACAGTTGGAATATAATTACAACTAAGATATTTTGCCTGAGATTTTTATAAACTACAATAAATGGAAACAAGAACGGCCCATTATTTATTAAGAAACCAATATATCCTGCAACTAATAACTATATATCCAATCCCTTATATTGCAAACATCCTGTATCTGCATCATTATCGATATAGGCTCTGTGTCTGCTAACAGTCTTCAGCACACCAGTAAAACCCTGCTTGTGAGTAAAATCATCGTGTTACTACTGGTCGAAATAATTAGGAGCCAAAAGCGAGAGACAAACATCGCGGCTATAGACGCATCTCATCCCAATATTCAGGCTGCCGCGGTTATTGCCTAAAACAGCCTAGCCAACGAATCATGAAGCTTTCGGCTCATCGAAATCATAGCCGAGAGCCATGTGATATCGTCAGATTCAACGGCCGCCGGGGAAAACGCTCAATTCAATTCAGTTCACTTCATAAAACAGGTGAAAAGGCCCGATACTTATGAACAGCATATTCACCGTGCCGCACTCACAATTTCATCACTATCATCTGGTGCGTCAAAAGGACCGATGTGACCTGATGAGCTAAGCCCAGGGGAGCATCTCGAGTGCGGGGATGATGGGATGATCAGCGAACCTACCCCAGAAACGTCATGAGGCTAAATCGGGGTTTCTGGGGTTGACGTTACTATTGGTTACAGAGGCTCGAGATTCTCGGCGTAATTAATTCGATAGTGCAGTCGGAAATATGCAAGACGTAACGGTTTCGTGATGGGGAATGATTCCGCGTCTTTTTGAGTTGGATATATAAGACGGATCATCCTGCCAGTAAATCGCATCAACAGTCCTCTTTGCCCTTCGTTCTTCACTGCAATCCTTTCTTCCGGCACTCACGGAGAATGTTTACTCAGATCTTGTATGGCCTTACGGTCTTGTCGGCCCTCCAAGGCCAGGCCACTGCATCGCCCGGCGGTTCCAGCCTTGATCGCTTCATATCAAAAGAGGCCGACATCTCCATCAAGGGCGTCCTTGCCAATATTGGTGCCGATGGCAAGCGAGCTCAGGGCGCTGCGCCTGGTGCTGTTGTAGCAAGCCCTTCGAGAACAGACCCAGACTGTAAGTCACTATTCAGGATACTATCGAAAATTAATGACTGAGATGCTTTCCAGACTGGTACACATGGACCCGAGACTCCGCCTTGACATACAAAGTTCTTGTCGAGCGCTTTATCCACGGAGACAAGTCGCTCCAGCGAAAGATCGACGAATATGTCTCTGCCCAAGCCAAGCTCCAGGGCGTCACCAACCCATCTGGTGGTCCCGAGACAGGCGGCCTTGGGGAGCCCAAGTTCCACGTCAATCTCACAGCTTTCACAGGATCTTGGGGCCGCCCTCAACGTGATGGCCCGCCTCTGAGAGCTACTGCATTGACTCTGTACGCCAACTGGCTAGTTTCTCGCGGCGACCGCTCCAAGGCCGTCAACAAGGTCTGGCCCGTCATCGAGAAGGATCTTGCCTACACAGTCAAGTTCTGGAACAGAACCGGTTATGATCTTTGGGAGGAGGTCAACGGATCTTCATTCTTCACCCTCTCTGCTTCGCATCGTGCTCTCGTCGAGGGAGCTGCTCTTGCTAAGAAGCTTGGCAAGTCTTGCTCCGACTGCACAGCCAATGCTCCTCGCGTTCTCTGCTTTATGCAGAGCTTTTGGACAGGCAGTTACATCGACTCCAACATCAACGTCAACGATGGCCGCAAGGGCCTTGATGCCAACTCTATTCTGTCATCTATTCACACCTTTGATCCTTCTTCGAAGTGCACAGATTCAACCTTCCAGCCTTGTTCATCAAGGGCTCTTGCGAACCACAAGGCAGTAGTCGACTCTTTCCGCTCCATCTACGGCGTCAACAAGAACAGAGGTAAAGGTAAAGCTGCTGCTGTCGGTCGATACAGCGAGGATGTGTACTACGACGGCAACCCTTGGTACTTGGCTACTCTAGCCGCTGCCGAGCAACTGTACGCTGCCGTCTACCAATGGAACAAGATCGGCTCCATCACTGTTGACAGTGTGTCACTCCCCTTCTTTAGTGACCTTGTACCAAAGGTATCCAAGGGTACCTATCGCAAGAACAGCAAGACATATAAGGCTATTATCAAGGCTGTGACTTCGTATGCTGATGGATTCGTGGCTGTTGTGCAAACCTACACTCCCAAGGATGGTTCTCTCGCAGAGCAGTTCGATAAGTCTACTGGAACTCCCAAGTCAGCTGTTCACCTCACCTGGTCCTACGCTTCTTTTGTCGGCGCTGCTGAGCGGCGCACTGGCGTCGTTCCTCCAGCTTGGGGCGAGAGCAGCGCCAACAAGGTGCCCTCTGTTTGCGAAGCAGCTCCCGCCTGCGATACCACCATCACATTCAACGTGAAGAATGTTGATGTGACGTCTGACCAGAAAGTTTACATTGTCGGCGGGATCACTCAGCTTTCCAACTGGGCTCCTGCCGACGGCATTGCACTTGAGGAATCCACAAGCACCAAGAGCTTATGGACTGTGAAGGTCAAGATTCCCTCCGATACCAGCTTTGAGTATAAGTACATCAAGAAGACGAGTGATGGAACTGTTACATGGGAGAGTGACCCCAACAACAGTGCTGCGACAGGTAGCAAGTGTGGAAGCAGCAGTACTATCAACGATGAATGGAGGTAAAAGTTGGTGTGATGGGAGTTAAAGTTACCTTCTGTTGAAGTTTTGATAGACATAATATAAGAGCGAAATAATACTCCGGGTCATTCCTCTCATACTTTTATGCCTCGCTCATTTTGTAATTACCGGCCTCCTTTCCTCCATGAAACCAACATAAAATGCCGCTACGGTGCTCCAATATGTTGAGTAATACTACAAAATCTTTATATTCTGTGGTGAGAAGGTCAAGCAGCTGCTGGACGATTCAATCAATACTACGGCAGCTCGGCACTTTGACTTTGTGACCTATCCCTTGCAGACGATATTAGATAGTGAAAAGTGGGCTAAACCCGCTTGCCCCATTGGGAGACTCAGTTGCTGCATATTAACGATTGGCGAATTGCTGCTTCCTATCTGCACTCATACCTGAAGGATTCGAAGCGAAAGCTTATAGGATCGAGCTCACAGAATGTCATGCAAACAATCTTTTTATTATTAAGAATAAATCAAGTACATCTGACCCATAAAAAGACCCAGCGTTCAAAACTTTAACGGAACGTCTAGCCTCGAGTTTTGCAGTTGGTACAGTAGTCCATAATGATAGTACATGAGTTGGAAAGGTGTATATGTCCGCAGATATCAACACCGTCATTCTCCTTAGCACTCTCACGACTAGGGAATATTCTGTTAGCATGGTTCATATCCCAAGTGGACTATAGCTTACGCTTCTTTGATGTCGGAACCTTTCATGCCAATACCGTAATTGTCGCACTGAAATTTGGCAATGCATGCCGCTTGGCCGACAGAGGCTGCTACAAGGATACCTTTAGTTGAGCGGCTGTAGCGAGAAGCATAGTCGCTGTATACGGTGTTATCCTCATACTTATTGATCGCTCTGTCGCAAGCTTCACGAAGTCCCTTCTTAGACAGACCATCGCCGGTGCCGCATTGTCCACCGTCATCGTTATCTACAGCAGTCTGACTAGGCAAAGGAGTGGTGACTGTTGAAGGCTCACCCACGCCGACTGACTGGGTGATTTTTGTGATGCCTGGGATGTTGATGTAATCTAGCACGTAAGCTGACCACACCAAGACCGTCCCATCTGTAGTGGTGGTGATGGGTTGCTGGAAAGGCTCATCCGTAATGGGACCAGTCTCAGGTGCCACAGTGATTTGTGACGGAAACTCTGTGTATGCGATACACTGGCCGTCAACCAAGGTAGTCGTTGCGTAGTATCCTTCACCGCTGACTGTAGTTGAGCACTGGCAGTATGGCGTCTCAACAGCAGGACCGCCATGGATGACACATGGGTAGTAGCTGTGAGTTACTTCTTCGTCAGTAGATATTGGCATGTCGGTGGTACTATCTGTGCCTCTGGTCCTGGTAATGAACGTGCTGGTGACTGTGCTGACTGAGTATATAGTATCAGAAGCTGTTGCGAAAGTAGCAGTTGCTTCTGTATTCGAAGTCAAATCGATGGAAACGGCATTCGTAGAGCCATCGCTGGTGACGGTGGAAGTTGCGTCTGTATTAGTCAGGCTGGTGGTGATTGACTCCTCTACGGCTGTAGAGCTAGTAAGAATCGTAGTCTCAGTATCATTCCAACCATCATCACCACCAAAGATTTCCGCCCACTCTGCCTCCAGAGCTGCGACTATCTCTGGGTCAACGTCCGCGGTGTAAGCGTCATCTGGAACAATTCCGACAGGATTGGTACCTGCCCAGATAAACTCCGGCGTCAATGTCACAGTTGTCGTGGCTTGTGTATCCGTCGCGCAGCTGATGAGAGTTGGACAGTCGCCGAATTCGGTCCTAAGCAGTACGGTTAACGTCCTTCCAAGGTACATAAGATATATCGATGGGTGCTTACATGATCTGAGTTCCGTCGGAAGTCACGTATGAGACGCTCCTGGTACAATCTTGCTGTGTTGCAACTGTACATTCCTCTGAAGTAGTTGTTCCTCTGTAGTGGTCAGGGTTGGAAATTAGTTTAGTTTAGTATACTAATACTAAAAAAAAAATACTAATAGTATACTAATACTAAGAAAAAATTAGTATTAGTATACTAATACTAA